AAACTTAAAAATTTGATTCTGACTAAATAGGAGAAATTATAGGATTAACCCATGAAAATTTTGTCCTTCAAGGAAAATGGATTTGCTGTATTGGTTGCTTAATAAGAACAATTTCAAATGATTTTTGGCTTAATTTGATGAAATTACACTAAAAACCGGTCGCTTACTGCTAGACCCCTGCCGCTAACGGCGAATTTCTACCTCATTTCGTGGTTTTGTGCTGAAAGGAAGCTGGATTGTTACGGTAGATTGTGCCTGCATCATTTTCGGAATTGTAAATTAATCATTCTAGAAACCATTTTAAATGACTTTCTGCTTATTTGGGTGAAGTTACACTAAAAACCGGTTGCTAAAAGGAGTCGTTAGACCCGCCGCGAACGTGTTTCTATTGCTAATTGATAATCTTAATAATCGAGGAACTACTCATTGGGTTGATTCCATTTCTATGGTTGATTCTATTAGGAATTTCGCAAGTATCGGTATCTGGAGCCAGCAAGTAATTAAGTTTGGGTTTACTTTTCTAAAAGGATTTACTGAATTACAATCAGGGTAATAAAGCATTATCTTCCTACACGAAAGAAGCTCTTATCTCAATTGGGTTGTTGCTGCAAGTAAATAATACTTTGTCCTCGAGCAATTATTTCCTGCTCTTGCCAATAGTATATGCTACTCACAGTAGGCGTGACTATGGATTGGATTAATTATGTTTGTCTTTTGTCATGTTTAGAATGTGCTTGCCTGCTTGCTGTATGATATTACACTTTTTGCTTGCATTCCTTATAAAATTGGAAGAATGTAGGAGGGCATTGTTTTTTTATTCTCATTTTCAGGATAGATTCAATTTTAGTAATATTTGTCAGAGGAGTAAACAGATAAGTAAAGTTGGGAAGTCTTACCATGAAATTTTATGGAAAATTAAAACAGGAGACTTAGGGGGTCACCCATTAAAATATCTAAACGAGGAACACGAATAGACCTGGGCTGCAAATGTTTTGAAGCAACTTTCAATTAACGGAAGACTAGCTCCCCTACGAAGCCCGCTACGCGGGCTTGCCAGTGACCCTACGGTAGAGTACATAGATTAGCCTCGGAAAAGACAAGAATTTTCTTAAAACCCCCTGTGAATGATAGTAAAATTAGCCTCGGTAAAGACAAGAATTCTTTCGAAGCCCCCAATGAGTATGCAGATTAGCCTCGGAAAAGACAAGAGGTGTATCAAACTCGATTTGAAAAAAATTGGCTCCGCACAGGTCACGTGATAAAAAAATTACTCGCACTCCTGTGACTATCGCTAGGAAGGGGGGAGCCTCTACCCCTTCTCTATTTCAGGCGACCCCCTGACTAGCGATAGTCACAGGAGTGCGAGTAATTTTTTTATCACGTGACCTGTGCGGAGCCAATTTTTTTCAAATCGAGTTTGATACACCTCTTGTCTTTTCCGAGGCTAATCTGCATACTCATTGGGGGCTTCGAAAGAATTCTTGTCTTTACCGAGGCTAATTTTACTATCATTCACAGGGGGTTTTAAGAAAATTCTTGTCTTTTCCGAGGCTAATCTATGTACTCTACCGTAGGGTCACTGGCAAGCCCGCGTAGCGGGCTTCGTAGGGGAGCTAGTCATTGACTAAACACTATTAGAACAGCTGAGCAGGAAGGTTATTGGCCAAAAAATATCTTGGATGTAAATAGCCTAATGCCATTTGACTGTGTCTTTGAAATATCATAAACAGGCTGTGTCTTTGAAATATTTGGAATAAGCTAAATTTCGGATCCTAAATTTCATGCTAAAGCACACGATCTTCGCAAAACATATAGATTCTTCGAACATTACTCGATAATCCCAACCCAAAGTAATTAAATACACCCATCTGAGTCAAGGGACCCACACTTTCATGCAGAAGCGCAAACTACAGAACTCCTTTTCTTCTCTATTATTCCCAATGGCCTCAAAGGAGCACCTAAGGACTCAAATACCAAATTGATGCATGACAATTGACACCCAAATGAGAACAATACAAATAAGCTACAATAAGAACCCCTAGCGAAATCAAATTCTATAACATCCCTCGTGAAATTAACGCTGATAACTTGTCCTTATAAAAGAACAGTGTAGCGTACCGCATTTCCTCGATTATAAGCCGCCCTTCAAAATGGCTTTGAAAAAACAAACATTTAGTAAACTAAATCTTTTCGTCTGACACTCTTCAGAGTTTAAAACGTCAGAACATAGATCGAAAACTCTACGCTAGGAAATATATATACCCAGTTGTGGGTCGAAATAGGCCAATCAGAAACACGAGCACATGACTGTTGAGGCTGCCCAATCAGTGTCGCTTGCCTATTGAGCATGTCCTTCCTTCATTCCTTATAAGCCGTCTTCGATTATAACCCGTAGTAAATGGGGTTCTTAAAAAATGTAAGCCACCCTTGATTATAAGCCACACCAACAAAACAATGCAGTGTTACTTTGTTTCAAATGAAGGACAAAAAACTGATAAAGACCTGATTTTGTACCGAAGCCAAAAAATTGTAGGCTGTGCCCCAGTCCACAAATGCTGGGGTGCAGGCTGAAAAATAGACGTTAGAAGTTCAACCAACAACGATATCGTCCAGAGATTTTCCTTTTTTGACTGTAACATTATGGCCCTCAGCTAAAAGGAAGAATAAAAACTAGGCAGGGCTTGCGTGTAAGCCGCCCTCGTATATAAGCCTTGTATATGATTATAAACCTTAGCAAAACGTGCCAAAGAATAATTACAAGGCGCAGCTTATATTCGAATAAATACGGTAGTCATGAAAGCATCGTTGTGGAATCTACTGACTGCGCAACAATATTTTCTGACGAAGCCTTATAAATCAGTACAAAGAACAGAGCGAAAAGCCCTTTTGAATCATCTCAATCTTGCTTATCTTCAGCATCACCACAAAGTAGAGAAAGTAGCAACGTTTTTCTAATCCGTTCTTTCGCTCCGTGAATAAACTCGAGAAAAATCATCCCAGGACAGTGTCGCAAACGCTGTAAAGAAGAAAAGAAGGGTATGGCGGCATCAACTTGTGATACTGAATAAAAAGAGCGGTAAATTCATAAGATTATGAAAATCATTGTGACATACAAAAGGACAAATAAGAAATCATTTTCGCTTGACGATATTATGTCGTTTGCCCAAGAGAGCTCTTTCGTTGGAATGGAAAACCCAGGTTTTCTGTATCAGTCGAGTCTTGTTGCCGTAAGTGAGTGAAATATCATGTGATGCAATAACTTCCGAAGCATGGATTGGAACTGCAACGGAAGCCTGGCCAATATGGAGGAATCATCGATATCAAGGTATGCGAGTAGCCATTGGTGTACGAACAAACAAAATTGAGTTGCTGGTGTATTGTACTTTGAAGATCAACCTGCCTGGGTATTGGTGAACTTTTGCCCAATTGGCAATTAATATGACGTGTTTATCGATACTGAGGGACGGGGCTGTTGCCTGATGAGTGTAAGCCTATGAGTGTACCATTAAATATGTTATCACGCAGGGGCACACAGGGTACGTTTGCATGGGTGTAGCCTTTTGGCATGAAATGGGGTTAATTGCCTCAATCGACAACCGGTTGCCTTAATTTGACTCTCTCTTGCCTACTTTCAATATTCGATGCACTACAATCTTTTTTATAAGAACAAAATAATTCTTGCTGACGCTCGGTGTTCTTATTTTTTTGGATAATTCCAGGCTCGCGTGTTCTTAATGTTGTTATCATTTCAAAATATAGTAGCACGGTCGATTAGCTGATAAAATCCGCTCTGTTTTGTTGACATGAGAGAGAATGTGTCATAGGCCCTATTCGCACTGCATCTAGAAACCTGACAATGCTAATCTCTTATTGTTCTATCTTCAAAGGCGGCAAGGGTTTGTCAGGAAGTAGCTTAATTGGTAGAGTGCGAACAGCAAAATCTGAAATCTGACAAATTGTAAGGTTTCGACTAATTGGTCAAAGGTTCCGTCGTAGAGCTCTGGAGCATCACAATATCGTGAAAATCTATGATAACCAGCGGGTGACTCGACGGACATGTCAGAATTATGTTAACACCAATAAAAAATCACAGGGTGCTATTTGAAAACATGTCACAATTCAAAAAGGTACAATTTCTTAATGGCAACCTGATAACGTGTTAGATAACAATACAACATCTCAGAAAACTGCCTATTGCGAACAAGAAGTCTGACAAACTTTATCAATCTTGAAAAAGTTTTCTTTATTGGCGTGAGAATATCGGGTTTGACAAACATTATCATATTTGCAGTGCGAATAGGGCCATATTTATTAAGAAGAAGGCTTACAAATTTTTCCTAGGATCTTCCTTATCGATGTTGTAAATGTTTTAGAACCCGTTTACACTACAGAAAAAAGAACGAAACTCCTTGGCTGAAAAAGCGACGATAGGCCTTGCATTTACACTAAAGCCCTGCCAAAACGACCAAACATTTCACTTAAAATTTCACTCAACTTTTGTTTAGTCAAAAGTTTAGTGAAAAATTTAGTCGTTTTGCCACCCTGTTTGGTGTTATTTAATCGTGTTGAGTGTTGTTGAGCAAAGTTTGATCCTGGTAAAAAATGTTTAGCGTTGTTTAGTGTTGTTTAGCAAATGTTTAGTCGTTTCGCCGCCAATTATTCTGATCGCGCAAGCGCACTAGCTGTGGAAATCCAAAGGTTTTCGTCTGTTTTCGTAGGTATTCCTATCTCTACGTGACCCAAAAAGCCTTTATGAGACATCTGCATATAACGTTGCACGCCACTGTGTCTTCTTCAACAGTCAACTTTGTTGTCAATGTGCTAAAAAGTCTTTTCTTTCCCCTTCACTTCATCCAGTTCTTTTTTTTATCCACTGCTCGTGCATGCAACAAAATAAATTAAAAACAAACTCCTATGCAAGATCCCCAACAACCCAACAGTGTCATAGACAGCTCGCAGCTCACCAAAGTTGAGTGAAGTTTAGTGAAAAGTTTAGTCACGTTTTGCCACCCTCGCTAAACTTCGCTCAACTTCACTAAACAAAAGTTTAGTGAAATGTTTAGTGAAATGTTTAGTGAAATGTTTAGTCACTTTTTGCCATCCTCGCTAATCTTCGCTCAACTTCACTAAACAAAAGTTTAGTGAAATGTTTAGTGAAATGTTTAGTTGTTTAACCGGGGCTTAAGCATCTTGGCTCCGTGCTAGCACAGAATTCTGTGGTGCTAGTTTGGGAACGGTTCCATTTTTCTTTGGTTTCGTTAGAATCTGAAACTCTTTGGTTCCATTCCTAAATCGTGCTTTTTCTAGTGTAAACGGTCAGGAGCGGAACTTAAGGAAATTAAGAAGATTTTCAACAATTTCTTTAATTTTTTTGATGGAATTGAGCAATGGAAGTTTCCTAGAAGTTTCTTAATTCATTGGGATAGCAGAGAAACATTTGGACGCGAAATTGTCTGCAATACGATTCATCTGTGCAATTCGAAGTTAGAACGATGAAATATCACCAGACCAAACACTTTACCGAGATTCTAAACAATCTTTTTGTTGCACAAGGGAAGGACACTTTGTATTAGAATTCCTTTTATGTTCAGTTAGAGCCATTGACATGAGCAGCAGATGTATTGGCACGCACTTAGGCCCCTACTTTAATAGCACGGAGCATGATGGTATTTTCAAAATTGTGGGTCTTCTACTTATTGCAAACTTAAGGTTTCTTGAAATTTATCAGTCATGATGCTTGCAAAGCTACCAATGGCAAATATGTTGCCGTCATTGCTCATCGATTTGCTCGAAGAGTGTTCTCATGCATCTATCGGAAAAAATAATGTTGTTTGTGAGAAGAATCCCCGATAATCCTTTGTACTGTATAATCGCATGAGCTAACCAATCGACTTAAATGCTGGGATTTACGTAAAGTAAGCTGCATTTATGCCAAAAGCAGGTTTTAGCATACATATGTTGCTTCAATCGCAAGCATGTAGCTTGTTAACCTTATAGCATCAAGTTGAAATGCAAGCTGCAGTGACAATAAGAAATGGCTTAAAGGCTCTTGCTCAACCGGCATGCTTTGCGATTATATTGTCAAAACCGACCTAATATCGTCGTACTGCATAAAAATACAACAGACAGCTTATTTCGTCTTGTGTCAAATAACGGCTACTGCATGTCATGCTAGTTGCTCATATGCCATTTGTATGAGGATTTTTAAATACATAAAAGAGTAAAGAATTCAAAGACGCTATACGCCGATGCCTATTGTCATACACCGTTACCTCACTTTGAGATATGTTAGTTGCGTGTTGCGTGTGGTGCTTTCAACCGTCTATCTTATTTTCGTCCTAATTAGTTTATTCATTCTTTATATTGTAGTTACTTTACTTTACCTGCAATGACATAAGATATAATAATGACTTAACAAGACTTTGATTCATAGATATACTGCAATGCACAACCTCAGCAACACATTCCCACGTCGAGCAGTCTTCATTCTATTGCTTAACAATTCCTTTTTTGTCTAGATTCTACCTTACTTGCTCGATTGAAAATGTTCCATATTTGTTATTAGGAACTATACATACACCTAGAAAAGAGTCATTCACAAAAAGCAATACCCTTATCTATTTGGAAATTTATTTAGAAAATCGCTTAAAACATGGCAATTTGCATCTTGCACCACGCCCTTCCTCTTTTCATGACCTCTAGCCAGGGCCACGGTAAGAGCAAATTCTCTAAAGGAATCGTAAAGAGCATATAAGTGTGAATAGAAGTCCTCGGCTCAGTAGCTGTATGTCTGAGTATTTCCTACCTTAGCTTGAAAATTGTAAAATAAACTTAGATTTATTCTGAATTTGTAGATTCCCAGTGTTGTTTGTACTGATTAGTGCAAACAACCAAACCAAATGTCGGTTGTCATGGAGCACACGGAGGCGACCCTTCAAGTTTGAAAGGCAAATCATTAGTTAGCGGATTTTGAGAAAACACAAGCTACCCTTTTCTTCAGCGTACTTTCCATTCTTGGTTGTTATTTTTACCCTTAGTGCCACAGCCTCACTTCGGAATTCCCCTACTCTGTTCTTGCTTCTCTCCGAGACTCAGCTACCCAAGGTAGTTGCAACTACTATTCTCAGAATCATAGTCAATAAAAATATGATGGTTTTGCGTAGCTCCAAAAACTATTCGTAGCAGAATTAGAAAATATGCTGCCACAACCAAGGCCAGTTCATGGGCTATTACAGGTTGGAAAATGAGGGGCCAAGGGAAACTTTAACAGTAATAACAAAATATTTTGAAAAAGCTCTATTGTTTTGGAAAAAAGCGAGAGGGCCATGCCCCAGGCCCCCTTCGTCGGAGGCCCTGTAGTTCCAAAACAGATTAATTTTATGAACCTACTGCCTGTGCGACAAGATTTTTCGACACTTTTCACTCGGTAAAAATTCCCGAAAGAAGACAACTTTTTACCCTGTGAATATAGCCTGAGATGTGAATAACTCCGTGAAAATCTCGCAACGTAGCAAAAAAAAGGGCGCGTATGATATGTTGAAATGCTGGAATAATTGATAATTTCCAACATCAACAGCCAAGCCCCTGATTAACAAATTTGAAATATGAACATTTTGTAGAGTTAAATCTTTTTTTCATTGTTATTTTTTTATGTACCCATAAATGTCTGAAAAGTTCTTAAGCATAAAATAAGATTGTATAAGTTTCTCTTTATAATTTGTACCTCCGATCCCTTCAGAAAAATTTCTTGATTTTTAGAAAAATGCTTTTTACATAGAGCTTTTTATATCAGATTCATAGAAATTACTGCCCTGGGCGCTATTTCAATTAAACGCCGTATCATAATTTATTGTCTTGAAACACATGTTTTAAATTCGGTCACCAGAACGAATCCGCATTGCAACAAGTGAATAGAGCCTTTGTGAATGACCTGTCAGAACACTAAATTTACGTTTGGTAAAATAATACATTGATAAAATAGAATGAATGATTTGGATGAAATGCTAATGTTTGGCTTGATTTTTATAGTTTTCTTAGTTTTGATAACTTTGTTGACTTAGAAATTGAATGTGTGATGTAAACCAAATAAAGACGAAATCCAACATAAAGTAGAGTGTAAACATTTTCATATTTCGTATAAACAGCGTAACCATTAAAAATTGAAACGTTCAGGATCCAATTGCCTCTTGTTAAACGTGGCGAAAATTAATATTCCTTTCTTGATTTTATGTTGTTCTTATCCCTTGGTTTTTTTAATAGAAATTTAATTCTGTGGAACTCATATTTTCTTTCCAACCCTATCAGACAACAATATTGTCTGAACTTTTATGATGATGATTTGCCAAATTACTGGCAATTGTGACGTCTTCTCGCTGATGACTTTTCCATGCACCCTGGAGATCATATGACCACGCGCGGCTTTTACATTCACCTACTTGATACAGATGACATTCAGCGTACATTGTTGTTGTCAGTTCTGGTTTAGATTGCGCGCGGTGAAGGCGAAAGTGCTCATGTGTTCTTGTTCCTTTATAGTAATGCTGGATTCGAAATGGAAGAGCAAAGAAACGACAGAAGAAGTGAAAATGTAAATCCACATCATGGAAAAGTAGGATTTGAACATTTTGGAGAGCCACATTCTAGAAAACAGTCCTCTATTGATGATATCAAGCAGCAGATATCTAGAACCATTGCACTCAACGTCGTTAACCAATGGAAGGAATATTGTTCTGAGCGGAGAGCTGAGAAGAACAAAACAGCTGTTTATCGTAAAGGACCAGCACCCATTGAGGACAGTGAGAGCCTGAAAAAAGCAATAAACAAATCAACTTACGGAACTCTTGACAGTGACGTCGAGGAACTTGAATTCGAGGAAAATCGAGTAAAAAACGGCGGTGTTGGAACCTTAGGCCGTGGGAAGAAATCGGGCAAGAAAGGGTTCGGTGGCTCTTCCCTTGCCAGTTGTCGAGCCTTGATAGTATATTTTTCAAAGTTAGCAAAAACAAGAGATGAAGAGGAGCTAATAGACTTAAATTTTGTAGAATCTCTGTTGCAAAGTGGGGCTGATATCAATTTTTCTGACCAACATGGCCAAACAATTATGCATGAAATTGCCAGAGCATGGCACCCCGACGTTGCTAAATTTGCCATCCAAAATAATGCAGACGTAAATAAAGCGGATTTGTTTGGCAGAACTCCGCTGCATTTGGCTGCAGCGGTAGATTACGATGAAATGGTGGAGTTTCTTGTTCAAAGAGGGGGTGAGTCAACTTGATACTCGTTTACTAATCCCAATAAAGCTGTCAGAATATATATATTTGATTTTCCTGTTTAATTGGATAATATTGGAAAGCGCCGAAATCCTTCTTATCGGCTTAAAGTTTGCGTAAACATCCATAATATCTGTTCTGGGTGCGTTTTTCGTATGTGGCTATTCGTGAATCACAAATTTATCTTTTGTGTAACTGGGCGGGCCATAGTTATTTTGATCAGAGCACGGTTGGTCACTGACGTGTTCAGAGTAATTTTGTTAACAAATGGGTTGTTAGCCACTTAATTTCGTCGTTAATGTGCAATTGTAATTTTTTAGTTGTTATCAAACAAGAAGAAAATGTCAATTATTTGCACGATCCCATTGCGTCAGTGTTTCATTGCTATTCAAGAATGTTTTCAGTAGAAATTGATTCCGGAATAAATAGTCACCTGTATATATACTTTACACTTGAGAAGATTGAAAGGACAGCGGATGTCCAACTAATTATATTGGGTTAGGCATCCGTCACTGGCATGTCTTATTTCATCATCTTATATTAAATATAATCATTTTTGAAAGACACCAAAGATCAAGTGATCCTTCTTTCAAAAGGAATATATCAAAATCCTCATGGATCGTTTTTGGCCATGGGTATTTAGCAAAATCCAAATTTAGAGTCTAAAGTTGAAGGATTTCCATTTAACATACCATTGATTACATTGTAGCGGAATCTTTGTCATGTTTGTAGAAAACCGTTCATTTCCCAACGTCTTTTCAATGAGTTCCACTTGCTGTGAAGCTAGTTTGATAGAAAACAGTGAGTTTATCTTGCGCTTGTTTTTAAGTTTAGTGGAAATGTCCATTTTGTTTTAGATCTGTGTATGTAGCCAAGGTTTTCTTCCAGATGAGTCCACTCTATATACTTTTTCTCACAATTTTTTATTTTTTTCTCGCCATATTTAAATCGTGTGCAAAGATTCCTGTTCAAAGTCCATATTTGCATAGGAAGTTTAAGTGAGTAGAATAATACATTCAGGCACTTGTCTCAGTAATCTTCTTTCATACCTGTTCAGATGTACATTAAGTGTTCAAAAGTAGATGTGAGATTTCTGACACTTGAAGGGTAATGACTTTTACTTTGGCATGATGCATTATGTTGGAAAGTTGTGCCATGGAAAATCCTGGAAAAGTGACAATTCAAAAGTTTTTCAATTGGATTCATGTTTTCAAAAAATTCAGAATTCCTCAACAAATTTGCATTGCCCATTACTTCTATTTTCAAAGGTATTTGTCACAAGTTGTTGATTTGTTTCACTACAAATATCTTGAATTTTGTAGATATTTCTGTTATTTCCTTCTTTAAAAAATAGCCAGTTCAAAAACTAACATCAGAAGTTTTGAAAGCTGAAAATGCCATCTATCTGAACCTGAAGAATCCATACCCAGAAAAAGTCAAAGTTCTGTTAGATATGTAACAGTTTCTCTACTTGTTTCCAGGTTTGCTCTAATTAGGCACTCTACAATTGCCAAGTCTGTCTCCACCAGATTCACCATCTGCTTTCTGGTAGTGGACATAAACATCATATCTTTGAATTGCACACAGACTGAACATAATATGTTTGAATTGCAAAAAGACAGAACATAAGTCCTTTGTTTTGTTCATTGTTTGCGTTAAAGCTAAAGAGATTTAGCTGCCAGGGCTTGCACAAGAAGAGAGCCAAATACCTAGTGTAGCATAGTATCAGTAAACTATGTAAATAAAGGAAAGGCCACTATAGCAGGCTGCTTGACGGACGCTAATGGAATGCTTGTGGAGAAAAGTTGATAAAATGTAGAAAATGAGATACACCACAATGTGCAGAGAATAGAAAACAATAAACACTAGCAAATTTATATTAGCTAATATATAACCCAGACATACAGGGCTTCGTTGACACCGGTAAACTCCCTGTTTGGATAATTAATTGCTTTTTCTTGTCATTAATGGTGGCCAAACATGTTGTGGAGGAGATACACTATTTCAGTTTCAGGGTTGTTTTTGGCCTTGTTGTTGGAATTGTTGGCTTTTAAATTAAGTGATTGGGGGTCATTATTGATCCATAACATGTTTCAGCTGATTCCTGTTCCCCCAAAATGCTGAGTCTTTCCCAGCAGGCTTGAGTGAAGGACAGGTGTTATTTAGTAGCTTTATTACAGCTTTCAATTCTTTTGCTAATAGCATTGTGATGTTTTGTGTCTGCTAGTTTTCTGATATGAGTGTTTATAAATGTTCCGTTATAATTTAATTCTTGACTTATCATTGGCTGTATCCTTTATTTTTTGTAAAAAAGCTTTTTTTGGAACTTGAAGACTGGTATGGCTAAAATTTGTGGCCAAAAGCTCCCTTATTGTCATAATATTAGGTTAACCAGGCCATTAACTGCATTTGGGTTATAATTGTTGAATGATCAGTAATATAATATAATTGGTATCAGATTTCATCACAGCTGGATAACATTTTTAAATGATTTCAAAAATCTCGGATCTTTAAGTTTTATTAAATTCAGTTGTCTCTGATTGGCTTTGAAAAACAAAATAAGATAATTACCAATTTTTTAATAACTGTTTACATATTAAATGATGTATAAGATTTTCACCACTGGCTTATATTATTCAATAAAATATCTATGTGAGATGATAATGGCATGAGATCGCTCTGAACAAAGACCTTCAAGTTGTTAAAAGTATGGTTATACTGGTTTTCTCTTGAATATTTTGCTAAATAGTCTTGTTTGCTGCAGGGAAACTGTCTACACTAATGCTTGTATGTTGTAGATATCCCTATATTTGTATGCCTGTAAGACTTTTCTTAAACTATCCATGTGTTTGCCAAGTTTTTGAACTTGAAAGAGGTATGGAAAAATATGCTTTTGACAACAACTGGTTGCTGCATCATTCTTTCAACTTTCTCATTTGTTTCTATGATTCCTCTGTATTATAAAGAGGTTTTTCACTTTCAGTGATAAATTGTGTGCTTTCAACGTATGCTTTTCTTATATGCATTTCCTTATGCATATTCTGTGTAGAAATTTAAGCTCCATAATACCATTCTGGATGAATGAACCATCTGTTTGCATTTGATGATCTGAATAAAATTCTAAGGCTGGGTCTTATTCAAGTTTTTAAATTCTATAACCCAGTCCAATTGAATTATGCTTATGTAGTTTAAAACAATAACAAACCAAATAGCAACAGAATCAAATGATCTTAAACTATGAAAATGCTTTATTTACTACAATTCATAAACTGCTATTTACTTTGCTTCTGGAATGAGAGCAGTGCGTGACCGTGCATGTTTCTATTTCTTTTCCGTTTCTTGTTTTGTTTCATGTTCATGTTTTCATGTTTTATGTCATGTATCTTTGTGTTTTGGGAAATTTCACTAAGCAACCGAATGTTCTTAGCACAATAAATTCGCGCAATGTTATCGTTTCGATATACAAAAGAATCCTCTGGTTTCAGTCGCATTATCTCTTTTTATCCAGTGTTTTTGAATGGTACTCATTCTTCTTAAGCTTTGTACACGATAACTTTTCGTCATACTTCCATTAATGAACAAAATTTGGGAATTACTCTCATTTCTTGTTTCAAATTTTGTTCGTGTAAAAAGCAATATGACCACGTGGCGATCTTCACTCTTTCATTGGAAAACGTGCTATTAATCATTTTTTATAAATGTTTATATTGTCATGTAAAAACAAGAATAGAAATCCCTTTTTCTTTCATTTTCATTTCATTAGCATGAAACCTTGTTGCTAAATTATTCTGACATACGTTGTTTGCAGGTTCTGCTACTATTTCAGAGCAAAGAAACATTAATTCAATTATGCTCTCCAACTTCGGATAAGGAGAGGCAGCTTCATCGCATTGTTTATTGTGTATTTTCATGGCCATAAGCATTATGTATCTATGACGGTTTGATAGAGAGGGCCATCTAAAGTGAAAAGTTTGCGCAAAAATATGCCTGAGCTACATGACATGACATGCTTCTGTGAAAACAGCAAAACTGCAAGACAGACTACAGTTTATCTTATCAAGCAGATGACTTTCTCCGGAAAATTTTTCGTATTCCTTGCAAAAAATTATTACCCTTTTGTACCCAAGTCAATTCATTACCTTAAAAGTATCTTAAATGGGCGTCTAATCTCCTTGCATTTGAAGTGGCATGCCAGGGCAAATGCGCATTTTTTATGCACCGAAGATTTTTTCTGAAAACATTTTGGACACCATGATTTTACTTTCAAGCGTAAGAAAATGGCACAAAAGCACACTGGTGTGCTGAATATTTGAAGCCTAGATTTCTGATATAGAGAGAATTGACCAGGGCAAATTTTGCGTAAAACCTGGTTTGATACCAACCTTGGTTACATGACATCAAGAGGAAAAGACTTATTTTATCTTGATGACATGCATGTGTGTGGTAAGAAGCGAAAGGGGACTGGGTCGAAGTGTTAATTGCTTTCAGAACGTTTGGGCACCAATCAAAATTCTGTTATTTAATATCAATTCATGATCACTATTATTTTACCTGAAACGATTTTGACAGTAAGAAAGCAATTTGATAACGCTTTTTGAAGAAACTAATTACAGTCATCGCCAAATTTAAACAACCTTGCTAAACTTGGTTTGGAAGGGATTATGTTGTTAATTGTGGTTATTGTGTCCATTTCAAGTCATTTTTTGCTTAGTGAAACTTGTTACATAAGAATACTTTGTTACATAAGAATTTAAGAGAGCTTGCCATTTTTTATCACGCTAGATCTAATGACATATATGTTTTGAGAGAGCGCATTTACGTTGCTGTTCTGCTTTCATTGGTAAACAAGATTCATCGATGATTTAAGTAATTGTTTTGTGGAAGTTCAGTGGTTTTTACTCACTTGCTATTTTCGTCAAGATGCCCGACCTTTAACCAAAAAAACAAAAAGTCGAATGTTACAAACGAATCCAAGGATGCCATGCGTGCCTTCGAACACCCCGCGAGCCATCACTATACAAAAGCCAGTAACTCGCTTTTTATTTTTTATATTGGCTATTTGTAGAGGAGACAAACCTGCTTTTGTTCGAAGTGTTGAATGCTTACCCCCTTTTTGGGCCATAGCGCATGCGTATTATATATTTTGAGTCAAAGGGGCATATATAATCCCCCGAGATAAGAGCAGTTACAGTGTAGAACCACAGAATAGACAAAGGATTTCAAAGTGGGCGGTCCTTGTTCATGGAAGAGATATATTTCAACTGAAAACCAGACTTATCTATTTTCTTTGAATTTCGGTAATTTTAATCCAAAAGTAAGCAAAACATAAAACATTTTTTTGAGGCGGCCTGGAAGCTCACGATAGTTAGACATTCGATATGAAATATCACATGATTTGAACTTACCTCCGACACTAGACTCAAAGCAAGGTATAAATTACAGAAAACGTACCTTTTCTTCGATCTTTCACGATTTTAAATACGAAATTCCCGTTTTACTACAGGTAAGCTCAGAGGAAACCTCAAAATGAAAATGTCAACGAGAATATGCCCCTTACTACCTTTCGCAAAACTGCTCAAAGAAGGATTAAACTTGGCCTAGCTGCCAGGATAGATTTATTTATCATTTTTTAATCTCGTTGTGTTTTTTTTGGTTTTGCACTGGTGAGGATGACTGGGAAGTCAAAATTTTGTTGGGAAAACACTCTAAAATACGCATGCGTCATAGCCCCTCGACGTTGATTGGCTCAAACAAATCATTAAACCTTTTATTTCGAACAATAGGAGTGACATCTCGTCTCCTAACAAAACCACTTAAATCCACAGGTGAAAGATAACTTTTGTCCTATGTCCATAAAAAGGCTTCTGCTTCGGAAAAGGCCTGACACAGCAGCCCTTGCTCCTTCCCTTTCTCTTCTCCAACAAATAAAGGCGATCTTCTTAGTTTTGTCTTTGGTTTTATCTATAAGAAAATTTGATGATCTGGATTAAATGAAATGCAGATAGTTTCTGTGAAAGCAAAATACAAAACACACTCTGTTGACAGCAAAATTTGTCAGCCTTATCAATCACAAGCAAACGTTCGTCCATATTTGAAATATTTGTTGCATTGATGTCATCAGACTCCGGGACTTTGCAAAACCTAACTTTTATAAAGAAGAGTATTAAAAGTAATTCAAAGTAGCCTATCGAAAAAGTGTTTTTGTAAAATAAATTATATTTTCAAATGAATCCGCACTATATCTGAAAAGTGCCAAAAGCACGTCCCTTGTTTTTTGCCATCAAAAGATGTGACGGTTTTCAATATGGGGGTTATTAGATCCTTTAATCGATGTTGGATCGTTTAATAGATCAAATACGTCACATGTCAACGTTCTTTTTGTTCCTGATGAATTTGTAAATATGCGAAGTCTAGACGATAGGGAAAGGACGCTTGACCAACGGAATTAGTCCTGGCGGTGACTGTCCGATTAGCCTTCTCGTATATAAAAACTTACGAATATTTTCGTAGTACTTTTCTTTATAATTTGTGACTTAAGAGCATAAAAACAAATATTACAGCAAGATATACGAAAGATTGTACGAGAAGATATGCATCATTCAAAAGAAAAGGACCTAGTAAAAATCCTTGTAGCATACCAACCAGAATCGATCATGCAGTGGAAAGTGAACACACCTCGTTGAAATCCAAACCCCCCCCCCCCCCACCCCAAAGATTTATTCTGTTTCGATTTAGATGAATTTAAGAATCAGATCTGATGGTAATTGTGAGAAAATCATTTAATTCCCTTTAGTGCTTATTTGACCACAATAAAGTAACCTTTTGTTGCAAGAAATATGAGAAAAACGACTCTAAATGTTTCTCATTTTACGTTAAAATGGCCTGGGTAAAAATGAACTTTGAAGAGAACAGTAATAGGGACAGAGTTGGTTTGTTATGTTGGCATCTTTACAGAGATGGGTTGTTTGGCATCTTTACAGAGAGAAAGCATCATTCCCCTCACTGAAGATTACTATAATCACCAATGCTCGGTTGGTCTGGTACCCACTGTGAAGCGACTTTTCTTCAGAAAGCAGTTCCAGTTGCAAATCTTTTTCAGATCACGCTAATGTATAATCCGCGATGAAGCTTTCGGTCGACCCGGCGGTTAAAATGTGGAAACCGCGCGATGAGATATGCTCTGTTAGTTGCCTGGTATCGTTAACCAAATTCATGTTTACTATCTAATGGCCTTTGGCGTTGTAATTTTTTGTCATTGTGTAGATTCTGGGATGAGTTAATTTTTATTGAACAGTGTCAATGAGCCATTGCAAGGAGCAAATGTTAAATTCTTCTTTCAAATAAGTTGAAAAGACGATGTCAACTACGATGGGCGAATCACTCCTGCAAAGTCTCTTCGTGCAAAACCTTTTATTCAAGAGTGAATGAAAGTGTCCTCTGGCATCAATAATGTTTTGTATGCAATAGACTGAATCATGAGAGTTTGAATATAAAGCTATGCGTCTTTAAATGTCTCATAGTTCGTGGGAAAATTCAATAAGCACTGGATGACACTTTGAAAGTGGAGGGAGGCATACACAACGGACATATATCATTATAAGCATATTTTTAATTTTATTTTAGGCCGTTACCCTACATAGAATTAAAACTAAGTTGAAGATTGTAATAATTTACAGACATGTTTCATTTTTATACTCACAGAAATTTTTTCTTTCCACCAAAATTTTTCAAGAATTCTCCCTAAAATTTACACCAAAATTTAAGAATATGACCGAAATTTTTCCCACCGAGAATTAATCGACCTAAATTTTTGGTACCAGACTTTTTGATACTTAATTTATTTTCAGATATATCTGCTTCGTCTCCTTTAATCTCCCTTGAATCTTCTTATCCCTTTCTCATCTTTTTCATCTTTACGGCTTAGTCACGAAGCTAGTTATTGTTGTTGTCGTTGCTGGAAGTATTTTTCTCAATGGCAGGGAAGTTTATAAAAGTATATATTTGAAAAGCTAGGCTTTTTCGTCATGATCGACATCAATCGTTATCAAACATAATCGAGAATCATAATCATCGATCATACTCATCAATCATAATCGCCAATCGTTTTCATCATCAGCCATCAACAAGTCTTTAGTTAAAATGATAAAGTAATATGAAAACTGTTCATTTCAATTCAACTTAAACTATAATTGCAAATCTTGCTATTACAAAGGTAGTTTGCAACTGACTAGGCTGAGTTTTCAAGATAAAACTGAAACAATCGTTAGTCCACGGAAAGACACAACCAAAATTAAAAGAACCCAATTCCGGGTTTGTCCATGTTTTCATTTTAAAATAAAAAATGTAGTACGTACTACGAATGACAATGTTGGAAAGTTTAGAGATAAGATACGGTATTTGTTGTTGATCGATGGGGAGAGAGAGAGTAACACATTCTGATGAATGAGTTGCAGGGATTGCCGAAGATGCCAAAAGAGCTCATAGAAAGATTCACAAAAGAGACACATTTGTACTGCCGCTGTAAATCAGATAAGAGAGAATCATACTTGCTGTGTTTTCTTGTTGCATTTGTGTCAAGATTGGTTTCGAAACCAACAGTTAGCTCTAGGATGTGGAGGTGATTGTCTTCAAGAGAAGATTTGGGCGAAGGTTTTCTCCAGTTATGATTGATGGTGAAAGATAGTCAGGTTTATCAGCGTAGATGGTAGACTCATTAACAGCTTTTAGAGAGGCAGCTAGAAGTCTGGGCCTGGTTCCACTATGTCAAATTTTGGAACTACCTTTCTGTTTGTGGTTGAGCTGTATTCTTCCCTTAAATTTGTTTTTCATTTCTCAGTGTACCTTTTTTGCTTTCAGCTGACATGAACGCTATAACTAAGGGTGAAAATCAAACTCCGATGCATTATGCTGCAAAGAACAATGCCACGTCTACACTCAAAACGCTGCTTAATCTTGGAGCATTCATCAATGCAAGAGATTACAAGATGCGCACCCCGTTATTCGTTGCTGCCGAATCCGGTAAGTTGTTATTTTAGAGACTTTTCTCCGCATTAACCGGACCGAAGTTAAAGGAGAGAAAAAACCTTTGAGATATAGGTGCCTTGTAGGTAAGCTCAGCTCTCGGAACTCAGAGCTGCCCTAATCAGGAAGATGCAGATAATTTTCTTTGAGGGTTCAGCCTATTCCACAAACTTAAAATAAATGTTGGTCGAGGGCTTTCCGTGCTTAGTAAATTCATATTTAGACTAACCCGTCTTAGAGTAATTTCGAGTAAATTCGTATTATGGTTAAGATTTCGCCTGGAAGAATTAGGTCCTATAAATTCCATTGCTCTCTATAATTGGGCTTTTATCACAACGGGCGAATAGTATGGATGCAGTTAAGGTTGTGGAAAGTTGAAAAGCCTATAGCGCAGACCACATGACTCTTGATGATGATGTTTATGTTTTCAGTTTACAAAGATTTTGGGTTGGTGTTATTTTTGATAATCTTCTTCGGGGAAGCAAAACATAGGGATTTTGTGACATAAAACCACAGTGTTTTTATTTGATGTAAATGTTTGTCTTTAGAGTAAGATCTAGAAGTCGGCAAGACGTTTGTTTTACGTGGATTTAACCATAAGTTACATTTTTTAAAGGAATGGCCATATCACAAGCACCGACTGTGTAAATTTTTGGTAACCACATTTCCTAAATCCCGCATAAGAATCTTGAATTTCATGTTGTGGTATTGATGTTATTAAGCTATTCATAATATCCTTTCCAATACAAAACCTTTTGATGGAATCTTGTCCACGCCGCTTTCAATAAAATGCTTTGCAATAGAAGCAGCTTCTCCTAGACAGTTTTTGGTATTGCGCTGTTTGAATTTGTACGAATTTATAAATTATTGAAAGGACAAAACTCATTACAATTATGGTGAATCTTGATTACTCAATAGGTTTCTATTTGAATTCTATTGAAAGAAAACCAGGCTCGATGTATAATGATATTATGTAACTGGGGTTGGCGGTAACCACCATGGAGCTGGTGTTGCTTCAAGCAACAATGGCCGCTGCTTTAACTTGAGGAGAAGAGCTGCTGGTGCTTCTTTTCTCTTAGTTTGCAGTCACGTCGCGAGGAAGACCTGACTCGCTTAGCGAAATTTCAGTTCCCTTAATGGCTGTTTTACAACCGGCATGCTTTGCGACTATATTTGCAAAACTGGCCTTAGATCGTACTGATTGAAAATACCAAATACTGTTCATTTCTCCTCGCGTAAAAAACAGCCCCTGCAAAGCATGCCGGTTGCGCAAGAGCTTTTAATGAAGCGTATATATCCTTTAAGACAATGACTGAATATGATTGTTTGTCTTTTAATCCATTGCCGTTTGCCTTACCATAATCTTTCTATACCACGATTTATCCGTTCAATAAGGTTATGGGCTAGTAATAAGCAATGATAAGCCTAAAAGGATTTTCAAATTCTTGTATGATATTATTCTGTTTTCTTCACAATCCAAACCCTGCGTTTGTTTCTCCTCTTGGTTTGTAAAGAGATAAAGTGCGTGCTTAAGAAGCTTGTTTACAATAATTTTTCAATGCTTGGTTGGGGTTTTCCTTTGACTGAGTCGAACGTTTTCTCCCAAACAATGATTTGGGCGCGTCACTTTGGAGGGTCGAAACGCAATTATCATGATTGAACAAATTGTGTTGTTTTTCCAATGTAGAGTTTTGGTCTGAACCTATCGATACAGAATGGACGATCGAAACAAAATAACTGCTCATAATGGACCTTAGATAATGGATCCTATTTAGACCCAGAGTATTAAGGATCATGTTGAAATATTACCGATTTATGAAGGACGATAGTAAAGGCCTAGCTTGTGAATGACCAGCAAAATCATTGACGGTCATAACCAGTGGCGTAGCAAGGGGGGGGGGGGGCAGACGCCCTCCCCCACGAAATGGCAAAAAGTCTCTTTGAAAAAGGGCGTTTTCTGGCGTTCAAGTATGTGTCAAAAGTATAACCAAGGACCTAAAAATAATGGACAATTTTCACGGTCTGGCTTTTATTGAGACTGATGCAAGGAAAACAACTGATTGATTTGCGGCATGTAAAGTAATTATTCATTTTTGTGTTTTTAGCGCGTTCTGAAGCTGCGAGATTTCTCATCGAACATGGCGCACCAGTTGGCGTTTATGATGACAGCGGCACGCCTTGCCTCTCTCTCATGATCGAGAAGATGCCACACATCGCAATTGAGGCTGTGGAACAGTTTCACAACATCGACAGAGCTTTTAGAAAGCATTTCTTTTACTTGAATTATTTGGAAAAAGATTATAAATATTTGGACGATCCAGAGCCGAAGACAAATCGTGAAAAGCGCGAAAAGAAAGAAAAGGAAAAAGAGGAAAAGCGAATTATGAAAGAAAAGGGAATGAAGAAGCCCAAAAAGGAGAAAACGTTTGCGAAAGTACCAATCGAGGTGAGTTTTCGTCTGGTTTATATCTTTTGCGTCTTTGTCAAAGTTGCCTGTTTGTCTGAGTCTTAGATGTGGCTACATAAATCGTATTTCCTAGTCTTTTTTCGAGAAATTTTTCAATCTTGGAAAGTGTTATAATTTGCTAAACTGAATTGAACAGTTATTTATAAAAGAAGGATTGGCATACCTTGGATTCGAAAAGATCTAAAAATACAATTTTAAAAATGGAAGCAAAGATGAACGTGTTTACGTCAAAGTATCGCATACAAAATGCATTTGATGTCCACAATAGTTTTCAAAATTCTGAAGAACTCGTGTATCTACTTTTTATCACATCTCGTTCAATGTTTTTCTTCTGAGTAAAAGAATTTCACCTCGGCGTTTGAATCAAAAACATTTGTTTAACACTAAGAAAGATTTTTGATCGTTTAAGAAAGATTAAGAAAGTTTTTGTTTTTTGATCGCTTTAAGTACACATGAGCATTCGTGCCATGCAAACCCATGTGCCATGCATTTGTGTAGGCTCCACAAAAATAAACATTTCATTGAACTGAATTGAATGGGCACAGAAACGAGACCAAAAATTCCAATTAGTTGAATAGCAGGAAAAGGAGGGATTGTACGTCAAGAAAAGGGACTGGATTTACATGTAATCATCATTCGATTTTATTTGAATGTTCACAGTATAACGGAGAATTTATTGTTTGGTTTCTGCCAACAGTGGCAATGAAAAGTTGCTTGAACGCGCCAGCAGGCAACATTTGTGCCATGCAAACCCATGTTCCGTGCATTTGTGCCATGCAAACCCACGCCCCATGCATTTGTTCCTTACAAACCCATGTGTCATGCATTTGTGCCATACAAACCCATGCTCCGTGCAAAGCCATGTGCCATGCAATTATGAGCTGGCCACATTAAAATATTAATTTGATATTCTATCTTTTTTCTTTGTTGTCTAACTTTGGGTTTGAAATATAATTATAATCAGGGCTTTGCAGATTACAGGACAAGCTTTTAAGCAATTTTTAATATTGACGTCTCTATCATGTTTATATAATTAAAATTAAATCAAGCTTTTCAATTTTTCTCAACATCAAATTAATTGTTTAATGCATATTGATTTATTTTTGGTAAGCTCTGGCATGTTTTGTATTGTTTCCGCAGGTCATACTTCAGTACAACCAACTAGATTTGATAATGCACCCCGTCTTCCAGAAACTTTTAGACGTAAAATGGAACCTGTTCGGTAAATGGGGCACCTTCGGTCTCGTCGCTATCAATTTGTTCTACACGTTAATCTGGACCGTACTCGGTATCTTTTTACCCCGGCACGGAGAGAAATATTATAGTCCAATATCGGAAACCTGGTGGAGACTGGTATTGGAAGTCTTTGGCGTGTTAATGACAGTATACTTCATTTTTTCGGTGAGTATTGTGATCAATTTGCTTGAGCCTCCCCCTTCCCTGAGTAAGAGCATGAATTTCCGTCACTCGTCTGGTCACGTCTTCTAAAATGTCAGTCACCAAATTCGTCCTTCTCAAGTCTCTAAGGCAAGGTCAAAAACGAGGCCCTCTGCGAGTGGATCGCCGTGCAGGGGCGAACACTTGATCAAATATTGGGGGGCAAGCCTATTGTTTTTATAAGATGACGTCACATTTCCCATTGTTTTAGAACAAGAGACCATTGTCCTCTAAAGTATTGGGGGGGGGGGCCGGTCGCTCAAACTGTCCGCCACTGGCGCCGTGCCCTTCAGATTAGCTTAAAATGCATTTCAGAACTTTTCTTACAGTTGTTTTTTCTGCAGTAATTTAAAATGTTAAATTATTTTCAGAGATCAATTTTTGAAATAAAATTCTTTACTTTCTGAGGGCCCGTAGACCTCGAGACCCCGGGGCAACTTACTCCCTTGCACCTCTCTCGGCGGCCCTGTGTATAGAAATGAAAATATTTCATCACTCCAACGTGTATATTGGATTTGGTTTGCTCTGTTTCAATTTCGTAACAGAATAATATGCTGCAATGTCATTTTTTTCGATTTTCAGGAAATAAGACAAGTTCGACAGGAGGAGCGGAACTACAACCAATGGCGGCAATGGCGAACAAGGCAAGTTGAAAGGGATATTGATTATTGTCACCCCCGGTGGCCTGAGGAAAAAAAGTACCTTGATTCTGAGCTGCAGCAGATAAGGACTTATCAACGAACGTACTTTCGCGATCCGTGGAATATATTTGAGTGGATAACTTACGGTGTAGTTCTTACGCTTGTTATAACAAGAATGATGGCTGTCTTCTCGAGTAATAAGACGGCGGAACAGATTCATCCTGGTGCCTACGCGATGGGGCTTATTGTAATTTGGCTGCGTTTTATGAGATCTTGTCGCGCTTTTAGAAGCCTTGGGCCGTTCATCGCTATATTGGGGTCTGTGATTGCTGATACGCTGAAATTCGCCTTTCTCTTCTTTGAATTCTTTATTCCGTATACGGTCGGCTTCTGGATCCTGTTTGGCGGACCGGTGCATGGAAAGCAAATGGGTGAAAACAAAAAGGATTGGCAAAACTTCAACGACTTGGTGTTTTCTGTGTGGCAGGTAAGCTGTTTGATCCATTTTGTCTGGCAAATGTCTCTGATCTTTGCTTGAAATAAAGTTCTTTAGTTAGTTTTGTGCTTAAACCAGTAATGTGATGTGGTCATATGAATTTTAGAATTTTCAGAGTCTCTCCATAAAATCAACAGGAAATAACTTTTAATTTACAAACTGAGTTGAATCTGTTACAAAGCGGCTGAGTTTCGGCCAGCGAGAGACCTGAAATTGCTTATAGCCTAGTTCTGTTTTTGCCTGGCTCACACCGTAAGAACCAAAGCCGAATTTCAGAGGGAAAAGTTTCTGCTACTTTGTCACTCGTTGGACAAGTAGTAGTGCACCCTACCCTGCATGTGACACAGGGTTTGTGGAGAGACCAACATAAACTATCGCAGAATAATTTTTTTAATGTTCTTGAGACTGAACTGAACTGACAATAGGCTCGTCTATTTGATTCGTTACTTCAGAACACTAAATGTTATCTTAAGAAAACGTACGGTTACAGTTTAAAAGAGTATGGAAAGTCATAAGCTGAAAAGACATTTAATGCTCTCCTTTCTTCGTTGTCAAAGTCAAATATGTGATATTAGATAAAAAAATGATGGCAGGTAATTTATGAATAAAATATTCCAGAAAAGGTGCCCGAGTATTGTCTTTGAGGTATTTCGGACCTTAAGGTAGTTGATTTGCTCGAAGAAAAGTCTCTAGATTATATCGATAATTGCGATGATGATATGGACAACATCGGTGCGGTGGCATACGGTAGAATATGCACTCCCCGACTGCTTGTATCTGCAAAGAACCCTGTTTCCTTGTTTCCTGCAATGCCCTGTATAACTTTCCTTTGTTACAAATTTTATTTGTGTGGTTAGAGCAAGGAGACTCATACTGTGCTTTCCTATTTCAGATGACCCTCATTGGTGATTTTAACTGGGATGGCCTAGTGGCAGTAAATAGGCTGATGGCACAGATGTTAGTTGGCACATATTTTGCGTTGACTGGTGTTGTTTGTCTCAACCTCTACATTGCTTTGTTGTCCGATACGTTCTCGAGAGTGTATGCCCAAGCTCAGGCCAACGCTGTCATGCAGCAAGCCCAACTGGTTCTGCTTGTGGAGAAGTCACTGCCCAAGAAGAAAAAAGTCAAGTTTGGCCACTACATGAAGAGCGAATGCGGTCCCTTGGTACGTTTTTGTTTCTATTAGCCATTTAAGGTGTAAAGATGGTTCAGTGGTTATCAAAAAGGTTGCGTTCCACCCACCACAATGAGTTTCGTCGGTTATGAATTAACGTGCCAGTGTGGTTCTGGCTATGCCCACATAGGTGCGTAGCCAACCCGGAGATTGGGGAATAGCATAAAAGCAGCATGTTCCTTCCAACATAAGAAACAAAACTGCCCCTCCAAGAGAACAGCTTCCACGATCTTTTATGTCTAGAAACACTGTTAAAATGAGTGATTCTGCCATCGGTCAGCATCTTTTAGATAGCCCAAATTGTGCAAAGCTCTATAATAACGACATCTTTCAGATAATTGGTAGAGCCCGGTTGTCTTTTTATCTAGCAGTTTTGGAATCGATCTACAAACAAACGAAAAATCCGCTATTGTGTAGACAGAGGAAGCCCCTTTTCTCTCTTGGACCCCAGTGCTGATTTTTCTATAGGCACGCTGTACTGACTGGACAACTATACCGGTCATGTGCTTTCTTTTTCCTTTTAGGCCTATTTCGATCCACAATTGGGTATAAATTTTACATCTCGTTTTTTCAGAGCTTTAATCTAACGTTTTATATACTTAGGAATGTCAGACAAAAAAGCTTTCAGTAGGCAGTAAAATGTTTTCTTTTTTCAAAGCCATTTTCAAATTTTGTACCGCCAAGAATTGTTCGCAACTGTGTTTTAATTATACATTCTTGTTTGTTTACAGGAAGTCTACTCCAGAGATGAGGGAAATTCACCCGACGATCATGAAAATGATATGTTTGACAAAGTCGTTCGGCAAATTTGCAATAGGGTTGACCAGCTTGAAGACAGGTTAAAGGGGGCAGTCGGTCGTTGGAAGATGGGCGACGATGGTAGTCGCACAGGCAACGCAACCCCTAGCTGGAGAGGCAGTGGGTTCTTAGGGCCAGGTGGAGGTGGACATGGTGGTGGACCAGGGGGAGGTGGTCCAGGGGGAGGTGGTCCTGGACATGGGCCAGGAAATGAACAGTTGTACCAACTCCTTGACACTCAGAACAAACAGATGGGAGGTATCAGGCAGGAGCTCGAAGAGGTGAAGCAACTAATGTTCAAAATGATGAAAATCTCCCCCATACCAAGCGCGCCGTCGAAATCAACAGTGCAAATGCCAGGAGAGCCAACCATCGATGAAATACGACTTGTACCATCTTCCAGTCATAACGTTTCCGAGCAAGAAAGGAGACAGACATTCCCAAGAAGAAACAGCTCAAATCAACAATTTATTCCACAAGGGAACGTGAACCAACCATTTATTCCGCAAGGTAACAACTTCTTTGGATCACATCCGCAAAGGACCCCTTCGGATTCAAGAGATGGGTATGGTGACCAACGAGGCAGGTCGGGTCCCAGAGCCCGTAATAAGCCTGTTAGCAGCAGTAGAGACAGTTTTGCAGATTCGAAAAGCGGTTATATGACTGAGCCTGACCAAGGCGGGCAAGGAAAAAGGCGTAGAAGGCGCGGCGGCCGAGGCAAGAGAGGCACATCTGTTGAAGGTGATTATGATAGTGATATCAATAGCACTGTTTCGGAGCAAATGCCCATGTTGGATTTTCAGCAACAGGGGAAAGGTGGGAGACGGCGCGGCAGAGGAGGTAAGCCACTAACGGGTAGCTGGGAAGACATACGGTCTGAGACAGACGCATGAAGAAATACCGCTAGCAAAATTTCGCTGTTTTGGCCAAGGTGTTGACTATGAAATCGACGATGATGAGCAAAGCTTTGACTATATTAGTGGTAATGTTGTCATGATTATGTAGAGGAAAACCGAAAGTTTAGGGTATGAATTTGTTGTATTCGAAATGGGCGTTTCCTCTTTAATTAGGAATGGCGGATTACCTTTACAAACCTACGCTGCAAGAATTTAAGTACCTTCGATTTGATTGATGGACACTCATTCATTTATATCTAGATTTGTTGCTCTCGCTACAAGTTCCTGGAATGTAAAAAGAGGCTTCTCTTTGTGTTTCTTATAGACAGGGGTGGAAAAAGTATTTTGTGTCCCCAAAAACGGAAACCAAAGAGCATTAGTTTTTATAGAAAGATACTAAAACTGCAGGCAGACATATATGACAGTTCTCTGTACTGCTAGTTTGTGGCACAAAAAATATTTATCTTAACTACAATCCCAGCAAGAAGGATTTTTTTCCACCCCTGCTTATAAAAAAATATAAAATATAGTTTATGCATGAACATCATGTGCGATAAGCGAAATAAGGCTGCAGCTACCCAATGTTTCATATGAGACCCTTATCTTATCAGTCATTTTCCAAAGCCTGCTTTGTGCGTCAAATTAATGAAAAATTTACCCCTGAAAACAATATTAGAAACGTACCGTGAATGGAGATTCCGCGCGGAGTTTCCGAAGTCTTTACTGGCATATCCGATGGTTTAACCTGTATATAATTTTTTCAATAGTGTAACGCAAGGCCAAACCAACGCGCCAATCGAAATATCATTGGGTAACTGTCCTAAGTCGAATATCATGTCATCTACTTCAAGCACTTTCAGAGTTTATTATTAGCTATTATTTTTTTATTAAAAAAATTAAGAAAATTTAGAGCCCGTAGATAATTTTGTTTTGCAGGTAATTTTTTCTTCAAAAGTCAGTGTTGGCGCATTTTCAAGAGATAACTTTTGAGCTTGAGACAATTTGATGCGAGCCTCATGCTGGATACGAGGATGAAATCTTTGCAAATAATAACATGATGAAATCTTTGCAAAATTTCATTACAAAGAGAACCTTCTGCAAAATTTTGACTGTATTTTGGCAATGATTTTAAATTCTGATTTGCCTGTGAGGCGTGTCTTCAAAAATTCTACCTTTGAAAAATATTTTCGTCTTATCCGTCCTGGAAATCCAACTCGGGGACTAGGGCGAGAAGGTGCTTGTGAATCATCATCCTAGGCCTTAAATCTAGTGCACAACACAACCGCTTTTGTTTCCTTTGAACAGTGGCTAGCCGCACTGCTAGGCCCAAGGAAATAATTTAATGGAAACATCCAAATTGTTGTCAATGCTACGTATACCGTAATGTAACTTTGATAATGATTATGGAAAAAAGTATTTGTAGACTAGTGTTTCAGCCGCTGTAGTTTTTTATTCAAAGAGTGCCAAAAACATTTGTTAATTAATGCATTTGATGGCAATGCGTAGGTCTAGAATAATTGCAAGTTTATTCAACCAGTGTTTTCTGCAAAGATTCAGCTGAGTTGAACATAAACCTATGCAGATAATAATTTTTTGGGTCTAAACCTTGATAATCCTCGATGAACCCATATAATTGATAATCGAAGTTATTTTTATACCTCCCTTAGGGCCATTAAAATTCGGTCAAATGATCTAATTTCAAAATGGAACAATTCATCGTGGGTCTAGAATTCTCTTTATCTTCATTGCCATCTTGCCTCTCTTCAATCTTAGTTTGTTTTATTATCCTAGAGCACAATAGTGTAGAATTTGCGAGTTATAAAATTTGTAAGTAATTGGCATCGTCTACTTTTATAAAGGTTATGGGGAACATGAATCATTTTGTTTATTTTTTGTATTATTGCTTCTGTTCTTGATTATCTGATGCAAAGTCCATTTCAGTCTTCTTGCTCGAGCGCGCTCTGCGACCGAACGTACGCATGCATATCTCGAGAACGCTCTGGTTGCAGAGAGTCAATTTCGCTTGCCTTAGTAGTATGTTTTTATCTTACTCCAAAAATGACTCCGTGCGAACAAACTGGGAGCCAATGAGATCAGGAGATTCACTGCGCGAGTAAACAAGAAGACTGAAGTACAACTGGGCTTTCGTGGACCCATGGCCGGTTTGCTAATACTTGTCACAAGAAATGAATGGTTTCCATAGAGAACCTTTTTACCCATTCCACAGCGACTGTCCACGTCTGCTTGTATAAGCAGTTTATCATGTGCAAATGGAACAGTTTTTGTTATCCGTTGTATACTGCGGTGAATTTTCGCTTAAGAAAAAGTTAGCTTTACTGTGTTTTTTGTTTCATGGAACGACCGTAACGCCTACCCTCATCTGCGTGATCTTTATATCTTTATAGCAGACCAGTGCATCTTGAAGCCCGCGGGCCACATCTGGCCCTTTAGACGTTTGTGTCCGGCCCGCGCGAGTGTGAGGTCAGTTAGACCATGAACCTTTGTAGGATAATTTTTTAACTTGACCTACAACATAATTTCATATATTTATGAGAATATTTACTTTTTATCTGTATCTTTCTGATAACCAGCAGGAGCCAAAATATAGTATATTTTATTACTTTTTACATTGGGAGAAAATGAACATCGCGCAGAATAAAATCACGTTCGGCCGCCAAACACAGTACAGGTTTTTGATGTGGCCCCTTGAAAAATTAATTGCCCACTCCTGCTTTATATCATAAAAGAAACTCAAATGAGACTCAATTTGTACTGCACTTGAAACTTTTCAGAACGAACCATCCTGGAAGCAAAGGCGTAGAACCGATTAGACAGTTCCAAGATTCGCTTTTCGTCGAGGTTGCCAGAAATTTTCGTCGATAGGCCGAAAAATTGCAACATAGAAGATACTGGTATACTAGTTTTTAGCACTGCTAGTTGACGTCGTCCGCTGTAAATGGGCATTTAAATTACTCAAACGTCATTAGAAAAGTAATTTTTTTATGTTTATAGCCTAGAAATAATTGAAGGATGGCATTTTCCCATAATGAAATTTGAGGTTGACATTTTTCCTAGAATGGAGTAACTAGGTCATAATTGTCAGTCGAGAAAGGCGGAATTCGAATTGTGACTGACGTAAAACTAGATATTTGTAAGATGGTTAGCTGATTGGAGATGGCCAAATTTCATTTCGTGATAAACGATATTCGACTTAAACGACACTGGCTTGTGCAAATATAAACTTGATTTGATCGAACTCAGAATACTTAATGCATATATGTATAGGGTTTGATAAGTAACAGCTAAAACGCATTTTTACCAAGAGGCACCAAAAGCTGCTTTACACTGTGGATTAGATCTGCCAACAGACTTGGCTTGGCTCTAATTAGGCAATGTAAACAATGTCTAATAGTTTTCAATTTTGTTTGGTCTACTTTAAAAAATCATTTCCTTTTTCAGTTTTAAGTAAACAGGCTTTTTTAATAGCAGCTTTTCACCGACAAAACAGCATGTGGGTGTGTAATAAAGAATTCTAAGTTTTGGTACGATTTACCTCAACGTTTCTCTTATTAGCATTTCTGTCATGAAATTTTAACGGCTGTCTTTGTTAACATGCTGCGCCTTGCTGCTTCAAAAAGATCTGTAATTTGTTGGGTGTATAGATCTTCAGATTAAGTTAAACCAATGAGATGCATGCGCAGTACCAATATTTGCTATCAAGGTTCATTTATTCGGTTTTTATCCAAGGTATAACGTTTCGTAATTCTATGAACTACTGACTGTCTTGGCAGGAAGATAGAGATGTATTATCTAATGTCGACATGACAGCAAACGTACAAGCCTGAAGTTTTTCGCAACGAAACAGGGACACCAAATTGTTTGTGCTTGTGCTGCCCGTCAAATAAAGATAAAAAACAGGAAGAACTGCCCCGGAGAACTTAGAACATGGATGGTAGACAGGTTGTGAACTACGCTGTGCGAATCTCGATCGGCCTGGTTGGAGTGTTGCTGAACATGCTCCAAATGATGTTATTTTCTGTAAGACGCAGAGCAAGTTTCTCATTTGAAGTAACCTTGTTCAGTCTTTCGGTTGCTGATTTTGTCGTCTCGTTGCTTGTATGCGTCGCATATTCGTTGTTTTTGCTCTACTTCAATGACAAAATCGAACTACCCCTGAAAGAGATCGTCATTCTTAACGCCGTTGGTACCCACCTCGCTGTTACGTCATCTGTGTTACACCTAACCTTTATTGCATTTCAAAGACTATTCGTCGTTTTGTCCCCTTTCCGTTTCAACCAAAATATCAGCAAGACGCTAACTAACATTATCATCTGCGTTATATGGCTTCTGTCTGGTATATACATTTTCCTCGTTGTTTTTAAACGTTATCACATATACATACCACTATCGTGGTTGATAATGATATGTGCTGCCGCCCTCTTGTTCTGTTACGCAGCAATCTGCTACCGTTTGCTCAAGGTACGGCACCAAGACAGTAACGGCACTCTAACAAATCGTCGACGTACAGTGACGCTATACTGTTTGATTGTCACATCCGCTTTTCTGCTCTGTTCTTTACCGTTCGCGGCTAGCTCCTTCTGGAAAACAAGCCTTCACCGCGATTTTCGTATGATTTCAGATTGGTTGCTTGTTTTGAACTGTGCAATAGATCCGACAATTTATCTAGCCTACGAATTTATTCGAGGCGGTATGCCCGCGGTGTTTTCTCGACTGTGGAAAACACATCGAGTCGGTGCAAATGGTAATGCTTGATTTGTTAGGCGTATTTGACCAACCAGAGCTTAGATAAGGACATCGTCCCACTGACTCTGATAGAAATCAGGAAGACTGTGAACTACTCTTGATATTACATAAAAATATATTGTATATCTTTATATAGTATGTGGTTGGCAATGAAATATTTCACTTAAAAAGAAAAGAAGTATTTGCATTTCCTATAGTTCGTACCGTTATAATATGCCCAGTAGCTGTTGCTTTAGGTGTTTCTTATTAGATTTTCGCTTCATTGCTTTGTTTCACAACTTCGTTCTCTCTTAATGTCGAAAAGTATCCGTCCGCTGAAGCTCCGAATTGATGCCCTTCCATCAAATATGAACTAGACCAAGGGTTAGAAAGCATAATGATAACGAACAGCAATGCTCAAAGGAACCAACTTCAAATTCAAGGTTTATACAAATGCTTGGGGCGAGAATGGGTGCCAGATAAACACACAACTTTGAAAGGCAACGGGAATCTAAAAGCCTGAAAATCTAATAATCTTTTTTTGTAATTGATTGCCACCGCTAAAATGTATTTTGTTAGGCAATTTCGTTATACTGACCCTGTTTGGGAAAGAAACTTACGTAACTTAGTAAATTCTTGAATGTTGCGCAACATCACTAGCTTTTACGCGATTGTGGTGATTCTAAGATTATGTGCAATGTAATTGAGAGTAGTATACATTTATAACTACATATGTTTACACAAGTCTTGGGTTTGTAAAGCCAAAGAATATATTTGCTTTTCATTTTAGGTACCTCTAGTTACCTAAGGATCAACTTAAGAAGCAAGCAATTCGCAGTCTTTGACTCTCGTTGAACTTGAATTATGTAGTACTTTTTTAATTGCTGGTAAACACAGAGCATTGAAAAGAAGCATTGCAATTCTGATCCGTTCAATCCTCGAACCACGTGGCTATCATCAAATGTTTCTTTACTGGAAAAAATTAAAGTCAACAATCTATTTCTTCGTTTGCGTGCACCTTGCTTTTAAGGATATTGTGGAAGAGGGAGGGTCGGGGGTATTCATACTAATCCTAAGTCAGAGTTGACCTAAAACGCTCATCATTGTGCAAAGTAGTTGGGTTGTCACATTTAACAGTAGGTTTTGGTGATAACACATTGTAATTTGCCCCCTAACCTCGTGTCGAATGCATTAGCATCCTTTCCCTTAGCAATAAGGGTAGATTCGACGAGCTAAAGAGAAAGATATGTATCTCCCATTATACTGTCATGGAAACTCTTCCTACCTTTTTCGCTATTTTATCAAGCATTCAGTTCAATTCTCCCCACACTTCAATTCAATACAAATGACTTTCGGCTTTCCATCCATACTAATATCAAAAAACACTTTTTGCATCAAATGCTCCTAAGTACCTTCAATCCCTTCAGCCGAGAAACCATATAATATATGGGTACCCAGAAGCTTTGAGGGGATGGTTCACCTTGACCTGGGCTCCAATCACTCAGTTTTTCAATTGTCTCTCTTTTGGGAACATGTTGTTGCCATTGATGACCCCCTACTCTGGCCTGCCACCCTGTCAGAATCTTTTCTATAGAAGGCAGACAGTAATTGGTAGATGTAGATGCAAACTATATCGATCTTACTTTTAGACAAATTTCAATATTCAGACGTAAACAATAAGCTAAGAAAACAAATGTATTTTTGCATAAGAAAGTACTAAATTTAGTTCTCCTCAGATGTTTTTGGTTCTCGGACCACGTGGATACGTGTCCCCCTTTACCAAACGTGAATGCGAGGCAAACAGGGGCCTGTTTCATTCATAACAGAATCCAGGAGCAATTTCTGCGAGAAGTTGCTTACCTTTTTATTCCGGATTTTAGTCAATAAAATTGGTATCAACATGAGATTTTTAACTCGAAATAAATTACTCAAGGTACGAAAGTTTGATTTTTAATGCTGAAAGACCTGATATTGTTAGCTGTGATCTGTTTAGCAGTGTGAAAATCCAGAGATTGTATGGCCTAAATTTAACAAGACTCGGCACAGAGCCAAACTTAAGAATTTGATGCAGTTTTAGGGTGCACTTTAGGGTGTACTTTAGTGCACCTTAGTAATTTTGCTAAGGAAATGTCTGCCTGATGTCTTTATTCAATCAATGAGCAAGTTATCTTAGTGATAAAAGCAAAAGTAAAAGTAGACATTCTTGATGGCAACATAATTTGAAACAATATGCAGCTAAAACAGCATGATTGATGAACATGCTAATTAGAGTACTTGCAAAATGTAAGCAATTCGATTTCATTTGCCAAGATTGAACAAGAATTGGTTTTTTATCTCTCAGAATCACTTAGAAGTTTTATAAACTTCCCTACATTCGGCTTTTTTACGAAAAACGCATATTTTTTAGCAGATTTACACACATTTTCAATGTTTCATGTATTCTCTATGACAGTTGCCTGATGATAGCATTAGGTGCGGACCGTAGGCTGCAACTTATAATCATCTGCAAAGAGGAATGAAGAAAAGGAAGGAGTGATTTTAGGAGAAACCAAATTATCAAAGTTTTCTTTCCATTCCCTGCCATCTGTTCTAGTGAATCACCATTAAATCATTTTCTAATTTTTTTATTCCTAAATACTTTTTATGTTAATTGTCATGATATTACTTTTCTTTGAAACTCTACGTTCCTATCTATCAGAATATCCTTTTTTGCAGATTTCGAGTTCTTGTTATTATGCCTTGTCAAAGAAGAATGTACAGATTGTATCTTTAAGAAGGAGGGCTTTTTCAAACACATTGGCTCTATCATCCAGTCATTCACCACATGAACATGAAATGAAATTTGGACATTTGCCCTTACAAAGTTTATCGGATGAGGAAAGGTTGATGAAAGAAACTGGTATTAATGTCACATTCTAGTCAATATATACCAGACAACTTTGTGTCAATATATGCCGAGCTGATTAACTGAGATCTAGATAGAGTTACCTAATCACAATTATATTTTGTACCTTATAAATCTTGAAAGTTTTAGAAATACTAATTTGAAAAGCAAATGCAAGATATTTTAACATTTTGTTAATACTAATCATTATGTGTTATCCTATCTTTAAGCTAATTGTGTTTTTTGATAGCTTCAAGCCTACCTTTTTTAACATAATCATTTTTGCAATTCTTTGTTCTTTCTTCCTACTTTGTTTGTTTAGCATTGAGAGATTTTACACAAAGATAAAGTCACAATGCATCAACTTTATTGTTGTATTAATTGGTGATTTAAAACAAGCTACATTTTTTCTAGTGTCTAGATTTGCTGATGAACAGATAAAACCACATGTAATGGAAATGGATCAGAGTTCATGCATGAAAACAGATATAATTCAAGGTTTATTTGATTTAGGGGTGAGGATTTTTTAAATAAAATTTCAAACCAATAAAGGCAGACAATTATTAGCTTTTTATAAAAATTTGATTTTGAGGAATGTTAATTAACATATTTCAAACCTGTCAAGTTTCGGTTTTGAAAACGAGTGAGATTTTTTAAAAGCAGAGGAAAATATTTGGTCCAGAACAAATCCTGACTGCCACACAACCAATAGTAGGGCCCCATGGTGTAGCCCCAGAAAATCTTCTTTCACCACGCCATCTAGTTCTTCGGAAACGCCTTTTTTAGCAGGGACCGCACAGAAGTGGGTGGGGGGTTGAGGGGCTTTGTTTTTCGCCATTCTACTCAGTTTTTCTTGAGAAAGAATTTATAAACAGTATATAATCATGAAATGGTTAAATTTGGTGCACTTGCGCTGCGCAAATGATTGCAAAAGTGCACAGCACTGTGGACCAGGAATGCAGAGGAAGGAATGCTGGCGTACAAGCAGAGCATCATCTTGTAACTGCAACCTCAGATATCATTTTGTAGAAAAAGTTACTCCGCTCTGACCGCTCCAATCGCAATCTTCTAAATTTAAACTCTAACTTAAGAGATTTTATGCTCCTCTTTCATATTTCCAATCAATTCACAATGTGTCCTAGTGGCAAAAAACTAACCTGCTATTTTGTAGGCTTGCCAATAAATGTAACATCACTTAACCTAAAAGGATTTGCTGTTATCTAGTCATATAATTATCTAGTTGCTGTTATCGTGCTAATATGCCTTGTTAGGAAAGAGAGATTTTGCTAGGATTTGGAATAAAATTGAAAAATCTATATTAACCAATAAGTTTGTTGCAAAATGCGTGATAATTCTGCTTTGATGCGTGTGAGAGTGAGAAAGGACAGAATTGCGTGTGTCTCACGCAAAATGTGTGTGACTTGGTAGGTCTGATATTTTATAGAAAATATTTTGAGTTATACTTTAGTTTGATAACTTTAGCACTAAAATGGGCTACAATGTGATTGTGATGGCATACTGTATTTTTTACTTTTAGCCATCTTCATTTATGAGCCATCATAAAGTTTTATCAAGTCAATGTATTTAGATAATTATCCCCCTCCTTTTTTTCTTTAGTTGATGGGGCTTGAAGTGGATGCAAAGTATCACGGGACACACTCAAGTTTCTTTTCAAGCATTTTGGTAGTTGAAGAGTTGGCAAAAGTTGATCCCTCAGTGAGTGTACTATGTGACATTCAAAACACACTGATAAACATGTTGTTTATGACACATGGCACAGAGGAGCAGAAGAATGAATATTTGCCGAAACTGACTACATCAATGGTAAGTGTTTGATATATTGTTTTTATTGTTGCCATTATCCAGTAGGTGGTAATGGGGTATATTTGTTGGGGGCAGTTGATGATTTCCCTGACTGTTCACTACAACAGCTAGGTATGCTACAGAATGTTTTCATAGAAAGACAACACTACAACTCTCAGCTTCAATTTCACCCCTCCTTCTACTGATCGTTCTGGATTTAAGTTGTTGAATCCTTATTTTTATATCTTGTTTGCTATGCCTAAAAATCACACTTTTATAAAACCAAACTTGGCCTGTCAACTGCATGGATATCAAATGTTGCCCCACTCAATCCTCTGAATGCAACTTTTCATAAAACGAATAAAAGATGACCAATCCCTCCATGATCTGTTTGGTAGCCAGTCTCAAGGATATTTTCAAAGGCAAAGAATCTCTTGTAGGTCAATAATATTTCTTGATGGTAGAAAAATAGGAACACAGTTGTCTTCATCTATGTTTTCATTGGTAAGTAATGTCAAGGAAGCCAATCGTTTTCCAATATTCAGCAGCATCTAAAATTTATTGATCCCACTTGTTACTTTTTTGAAAGCTATCTGAAACCTCCCTAAATTTTTGGTTCAGTTCAGGCGAAATCTATCATATTCCTGATAGTCGGCACAAATTTTGCGCTGAGCTGGCTCGCAGTTGATTGCTCAATTTATGCCCTCTTCTTAAAGGCTTAATAGAATTGCTGCATATATTCTAGTGCTGAATACAATTCTTCATCATACTGCTTGATAGAATTTCTTCAATTACCTGCCATGATTTTGAAATTCTTGGAGCAAAATTTAAAAAATCAGTTCAAAATTTGCCTTCTGGGTTTAGTTACGCACCAGTTTTTTGCTTATTTGACTTGACAAAGCTCTAGGAGATTTTGAAGGAGTTTGTGAGCACCTTGTGATCTTAAGATTTGAGAGCATGTTAAATGACATGGTCTTCTCGCTGGAGTCTTTCTGCTACTGCGACTATTTGGATACACCAATCCTTCAAGCAAGGTTCTAATGGAGCTATTATTGTATGGTGATAAAGATTCATTCAATGACATTAATAGAAATAGATAAATCCATAAAACCTGGTCAATTTGTTTAAGATCATCCGAAACATCGCCACATGCCACCATCTTATTTTTTTCGTAGTATTTTTTATGTAGTTATATATTTATGTATGTAACTCAGGAAACCGTTTTCTGTCCTCATATGTTTTATTGCCTTGAGGTAGACATGGGTGTCGTCCTAGTAGTGTTGTAGAGTATTTGCCTGTGACTAATGTATTTGGAAAAATGTATTTGCACATTTTATTGGATTGTATAAAAAAGAAAAACTAATATATTGTGTTTCTTGTCAACTAATATAGACTCTGTAACAATGCAATTACCATGCCTTCCATATTTGATTCATCTACTTTTGCTAAGCAGTGGCAACGCCAGCTACAGCAGAGTGGGAGGGTAATGGGTGTGGTCAGTGTTTTGTACCAGGTAAATTTTCTTCAGGAAATATGATCTAGCCCTACCTAGTGCTTTTTAATACATTCATAGAAGAAATATGTAGACCATGTTTTGTCCGAAAGTGGGGGGGGGGGTTATTACCCCCTTGGCGCCGCCACTGTTGCCGAGAATGAATTATGCAGTCTGTTTTCCTTTCATATTGTGCTAAAAGATATCCTTGAAACAATTGAAAATTTACATCCCCTCCCCCGTCATTCTTGTTCTGTGTATTTTCATTTACTTCTAGGTTGGCAGCTTTTGTTTGTCGGAGGCAAGCTCTGGTAGTGACGCATTTGCTTTGAAAACAACCGCCAGGAAAGAGGGAGGTCATTACGTCATAAACGGATCCAAGCACTGGATTTCGAATGCCGAGCATGCTGGTGTATTTCTTGTTATGGCCAATGCGAAGCCGGAAGACGTATGTTTATTACTAATGCTATCAAACGCAAATTCAATTTTGAATAACATAGCATTTCGCTTTACTTAATGTTATAAAAGTAAATTTCTGCGAAAAAATCAATTCCTCAAGATTGATGACAAAGCTGCAAAAATGGCGAACTTCTATCTGTATTATATTCAAAAAAGAGATTAGAAAATGATGTTAAAGAACTTAAACGTAAATAAGGTTTACCCATAACACTGCAAGAAAGTACCAAAGTTTAGGCGCTCTTGGACATAACTGGGACCTTTTGGTTATTAGTGATACAGAACATTATAAGCGCAAAGTAATTTCTTTAAAATGATGCCTCTAAGATTTGAATTTAGTTTGAAAAAGATCGAGCTTGAAGCAAATTATTTTGCAATAATTCAGAGATAAAGCTAGAAAAAATCCAACACATTGTTTTCTTGTCTCTGTAGGTGTGCACTTGAACTTCTGATATTGACTATGTCACCAGGATTAAGGCTAGATAGATACCCTAATCTTTAAGATTTCTGAATGATCAACAAAATTCAGCACGGTGCTATTAAACAAACTGCAAAAGCGGTCAGTTTAAGGCCTTGCGAAAAGAATTCTCTTAAATTTAAATGTCCTATGTGATGAAAGAGTGAAAGGGGATGAACCCTATTTAAAGCTTGACTTCAGCTTCGCATACAGAGATACATTGTGATGAGATCAGGCGATTTAGGATATGAAAACATGTATAATCTTGCGAGTAATATTGTCGGAATGACCCCTTTCCTCCTCGACGTAGTTCGGTTACCAGTAAAAAGATTCAAGCCTAGGCTAGATAGTACAAGGAGAAAGAGGATCTAGACAATTTGATAGCTTTATGTTGACAAAGTTGAATGTTATAATGCGTAGAAATTTGAAATTAGGAAAAGGAAGTAAATCTAATTGGAAGAAAATACAGGCGTGTTTTTTATTAGAAACATGACCCACTAAGGCTTGTGGCTTGTCGGATGTGAAACCACTATCATGGCATTTTTTAATTTTGGCAAAATTAATGCATCCATCTAACAATTCACTGCTATTATCTTAATGCCGAGTTAAGTGAAAGTCTGATCCAATTTTCGGTCAAATATTTTATTTTGTGTTCTAGGTTGAAATTAATCGCATATTTAGAAATAGCTTCTATGGAAATTTTGAAGGGACTGAAATATAGCTCGATTTTCGTAATAAAATTTTACATTTTCGAGTTTTTGTAGAGATTTTATATGCAGGCTTTAATGGGGCAATTAGAATCTATCTATATCTTATTTTTTAGTGAGAATTATATCTTTGTTTTTAACATTTCAGGGCCACCGAGGCATTACCTGTTTCATTGTACCCAAAGGAACAAAAGGGCTCACTCTAGGAAAAAAGGAGGACAAGGTGAATATTTGAACAACTAATTAAAATATCGGACATACAGTATGATCCGGTTATAACGTATTTTAAGGGACCAGCGTATTAAGTACGTTATATCCGAAGTACGTTGTAACGAGGGTAAGTAAAAATTGAATAAAACCAAGCACACCTTTGCCGGGACCAAGCACACCAGTACGTTATGTCCGGAAGTACGTGATAACCGAGTACGTTATAACGGAATTCTACTGTAGCAGGAAATTGTCTCAGTTGCTATTTATCAGGGAATATCATATCATGGCAGTTTTTGCTTTACCCCCTTACTGAGTGGGTGTTTGGAGGGGTCCAGAAACTGTAGAACCGTTCAGAATTTTCACAAAACCCGTAAATCCGAACATCATTTGTTGTAAAGCCGTAAAAACGCGTGAAAATGGTATTAACTTGATTGTTCATCAACATCACTGTGTGAATACATTATTCCGCCAAAAACTGTTGCTGTTGCTGTTTTAGTTAGCTAAGTCTTTGTTTGTTTGCCTTCTTACATAATGACGTCAATTCGCTTTTTGAGCATAAGGAATCACAATGGACCGACAAGATGTAACTAAAAACCCCAATCACCGAGATAATAATAAAGAACAAAAAACCACACACAACACATCCCCTAAAAACCGTTAACCGAGGCAATATTAAAAACCGAAAAACAAAGCGATTTTTAGTCAGAAATCGAAAAACGAACCGAAATGTGAGCAAAACTGCGTAACCGTTAGGCAAAAACACCCCCTCCGAACTCTTTCTACATGTAAACCATCCTTGTTTAACCACAGTTCCCAGTTTGTAATTGTTGGCCTGATTCAAGTTTTGTTGGTATGCTGGAATTCATTTATTTTGCGACCGTTATTTTTTTCTCCAAGTTTCTTTTAGAAAAATTAGTTTGTGCTGATAAAATTGGCAATATGTAGCTTAGAAGGTTGGTTTTCAAATTTTGTGTTTTCGTTCAACAATCAACTTAAGGTTATCAAATTTTTGTTAGAAGTCAAGATAAGTTAAGGGCTAATCAAAGCAAAGAAAACAACTTTATTGTCACGAGCCTGGAAAAGAACATTTTGCATCTAGATCTTCCGCTCTTATTTTATTCACATCTAGTTAGAATTAGAGTGAAGATCAGATGATTGTGAGAGATACTTATGCTATCGAATAATGTCAGCGGACTATGCCTTGGTTCGTCTTGCTTACTTCTTTTCAGATGGTTTATGGCATGCCATGAATAACAGCTACATGCATAATACCTGCTAAATGCCCTTGGAACACCAACTAATGAGTAGCGGTTTTGACGGTAGTTGCAGTTTCTTTGACCGCATGCTAACCCCTCGGCTCCACCTTTTCTTCTCTTCTTCCATAAAACACCTTCAACAGTTAAGATCTCTCAAATGAAATACATGCCTTCCAGCCCTATAAAAGGGGATGGCTCAATCAGTAGCGTTCCAACATTTCTGGCACTCTTCTGTCTAATCATAGAAACATCAGTTGCGTTTTGGACAGAATGTCCTTAGATCAATTTAAATTGTGTCAATAGTTAACCTAGGAACACGAGTGTGGGAGGTAATATTCTTTGGGGCTCTGTTGTTGGTGGATTCTTTAGTTTATTATTAAAACAAACACATTTCATTATCGCCAATCACTGGTTTACCAGACATGCTATGCCTGCAAAAAGTCCTTGGAGCACCCTGAAATTTTTATGAATTTTATAAATGCATATTAAGTTCAATATTTAATGCAGTTTTTCATTTTAGCTTGGGATTCGTGCATCGTCTACCTGCATAGTTAATTTGGACGACGTTCGGGTATGTCCAATGATTAGTTAACATGGAATTGTCTAGTTTCCATACTGCTCGACCTGATAGTCATAAATAAGCATGATTAATAGTCATAAATTAGTATGATTAATTATTTCAAGCAAAGGGTTAGGGTTAGGGTTAGGCTAAGGGTTAGGGTTAGGGTTAGGGTTAGGTTTAGGGTTAGGGTTAGAGTTAGGTTTAGGGTTAGGGATAGGGTTAGGTTTAGGTTTAGGTTTAGGGTTAGGGTAAACTAATTACGTCTTCAGGTTGAGCAGTATGGAAACTAGACAGCTCCAGTTAACAACATGTCTTTTTGGCACTGAACATGGTACGGTGGGATACTCACTTTCAGGCTTATCATGTGACCCAAAAGAGTACATGACCGTAACCTCGCCTCTCATGCAGAAAGTAAGACTCGTTACAGTGTTACTGCTTGATCAGTGCTGGTTTTGTGTGCTTCGTGATTGAACCTTGCTGCCTTTTTCTGACCAGTGGGCAAGTACTCTCTTTTCAAGGCTGTACTTCTCGCCGGATTTTGCCCCGTGTTTGCGAATAAGTTTACTTTATGGAAGACTGAAGAACGCACCTGATTTCTTCTGGGGAGAAGTTTCGCCATTACTTAGTTTCGGCCTTCCCATTCCTCAAAAGTGAATCACTGAGTGCATCCGGGGCCTAGTAGATTACAATACCTGCTTCAGATTATATATATTTCTCTAAAAAGATATATAAGTGCCAATCCTGTTTAAGGAAAATTCTGTGTAATGTTTTCTACATTTTCATTCAGGTTCCAGAAACAAATATTCTTGGGAAGTTTGGCCAGGGATACAAATACGCCATTGGCTCACTGAATATCGGAAGAATTGGCATTGCTGCACAAGTGAGAAAGCCTATTTTGAGAAGATGACGTCTTCTTGTTGTTGTTGATGTTTCTTAGTCTTTGCGAGTAGGGGTATAAACATACACCCCACGGGTTGATTGAAGCCTGAAACCAGATTAAAATATATTTCATATGATCTTTCGTTATGTCAATGCCAGTTCTCTTTAAGTCACCATTCTTTTAACTGATTTTGCTAATTATATTGCTAAGCATGAATATCATTTTAAATGAATATATGAATTCTGCCTTTCAGTGCTATGTTTGTTTCGCGAAATTTTTAACTGCCTTAGTATCATTTTAGCGATAATTAGTGTCTAAAATTCAAATTTACTAGCATATTCATTACACCGTTCTGTATTTCCAGCATTCGATATTTATATTCTCATCCGATTTGACATTTGGTCATCGCCTTGTTGAGTTTTTTTCGAAAGAAAACCAATTCTTGAAACCATTGGCTGTAAATTTATTTTAATTCTGTTCATGTTCGTTCTTATTATTTCATTTTCACCCATCTATTCAAATTGAGATAGTTTATGAACTTTGTTATGTGGGATTGTTTTTAGATGGTTGGCCTAGCCCAGGGTGCCATTGATCATGCAATACCGTACATCAAGGAGAGGAGTCAGTTTGGAAAGAAACTGTGGGAATTTCAGGTATGACCTAATTGTCGTAGCTCTGGTCAGTAACTAAGGCTAGAAGGGCTGCAAAATGAAGGCGAGGCTCGAAAGTGAAGGTGAGACTGTAAATTAAGGTGATTCGCATAGTTGCTACCTAATGTAAGGTTTCCAATAACAAACGGTTAATATAAACCAGGAGAGGTAGTGGATTTTATTTACAAACGTTTTAACGTGGGCCTGAATTGGTAGTGAGTAGAAACATTGACATGTGACCCATACAAAATGAAGTCATTTTCAAGGTATCATAATTTAGAAGACATCGTTGATTTTACCTTAGCTACATTTGATGCAGCCTTGATCATAATGGGTCTCGCGCCATAATAAACTTTTTACGCTACAGAATCCAGTCGATATTTGCCAAAATTATTATATCTACCTGGATAGCTTGATTGCATATAGCCTTACTACCTAACAACAAGTTTGCCGTATTTTGGATAGAATTCCCCGTGTGCCATATCTATTCTTACAAATAAAAGTGACTGGCAGCACTTTACAAAACGTTATCTAAGGAGATTTAGGTAATATGGCAAAGTAGATAGATGTAACATGCAATTCATAACCCTTGTACACTGTTTTTTTTAACGGTGTTCATCAATTTATATAGGTATTTTTGGCTGTAATGAATGCCGGAACGAGATGCGATTGTTTCAGACTAGATGTTTCAAATTAATATTTCAATGCTCTTAAGCTGTCAAAGGCTCTTACAACGATGGCCAAGAAAGAAGGCATCATTTTGAATTTTAGGCAACGGTGGAGTTTTATTGTGATAAGAGTTTTGTGCCCAAATGCTCTTTTCCTAAACATTTGAGGTGACCAAGAAGCGTGTTGAATGGACAAGTGCCTTGTTATTTTTATCTTCTTATATGAACCCCCGTCAATTTCTGCCCTTTATGAAATAACTTTTTCTTCAGTCAATGCAACATCAAGTTGCTTACGCTAGCACTCAGTTGGAGGCTGCCCGTCTACTCACGTATAACGCTGCAAGGCTAAAAGAGGCTGGAATGCCGTTTGTGAAGGAGGCAGCTATGGCAAAGCTTTATGCTGCTGAAGTGAGTATACAAATACCTGTCTTTTCCAGTAAATAAGCAATTAAAGTTTTCAAGAACCTCCTGTCTTAGATATCTTCCCCAAGTGCAATGTTTACCTTGTCCAGCTAACAAAAGTTACATGGAAAAGAAGCTTAAAGTCGGTGGTTCGTCCAGATAGATCGCTAGAAATTGCTATTATTGGCTGATAGAAGGCTGGCAGGAATGCAGCTGCTCTCGGATTTGTTTGGTTTCGACCAAGCTTCTTGTATTTATTTATTTAATTTGTTTTTTTGCCTCGCTGAATTTTTATGTTAATTGTATCAACTAATGGTATTCAGTATGGAGCACAGAAATTTTCTTAGATCACTAACGTGTGGGGATTATCTTTCCAACCATAAAGATGTCTTTTAAATTGCAGGTTGCAAATTCAGTTGCATCGAAAGTCATTGATTGGATGGGTGGCGTCGGTTTTGTTAAGTCTAATCCTGTTGAGAAATTTTACAGGGATGCAAAAATTGGTAAGATTCTGAGGTGCAAAGTTAGAATGGATAGTTGCTTTTACTGTACCATAGCTTCAAAAGTTATAGGAATTTGTTATTAGGTATGAAATAAGTACATAACGATTGATTGCCAGGGACTTTCCAAAATGACGTCACGAAAGTGACATCGAATAGGTGTTAACCACCTCCTATGTCAAGTTACTGTATTTTGCATTTTGAGAAACGCGAGGACGCTGTTTGAGCGATTTCTTCTAAAAATTTGCGAAAAAAATGTGTAATGATAACCCAGAAACTGAGAATAAACTTGGTATCTGCCCGAAATTTACATGCAAATGAAAATGACATTTTGGCCATTATTCGGTATTTTATATTTTGAGGAGTGTCGGAGAAAAGTGCATCTGAGGAAAAACGTTTCTGCTTTGTCATGTAATCTTGAAATTTTGTAGAACATTTTGAAGTTTTAAACACAATAAGGGCACGGTTTGGTGGCTGGAAGTACTTTATTTTGGGGCCTGCTTCGTAGATATGATTTGACATTGTTGATTCATACCTGATCTCTTTTTATTGTTACATTGCGGCACTCGAGTTAAAGCCATTTTTCTTGAACTTTTTCAAATTTTTAAAGCAGAAAAAGCTAATAATAATCAGTGGCGTGTCGAAAGACTTTTGAGTTCGAGGAAGGGGTAACAAAGGAACTTTACCGACGACCGTCTGTGCTCGAGTTTTTTCTTCGTAGTATATAAATATACATAGTAAAACTTACCTGCCTATTCAAGTAGCATTGTTGTGCCTCTATTACTAATCTCTATACCCTCGATAATCAAGGGATTCATTAGAGGGAGGTTTAGGAGATGGCTCAACCACGAAAATCGCTATTACGTAGGCAAATCTGCAATGAAATGTTATGTTTTAGCAGGGCAAGTCATAAACCTATTGAAATATTGAAAGTTTTTCTTGCGATTTTAATCCTGCAGTTAGACATTATCTATTCTGAACTGGATAAAGCTGTTGTATTCCGAACAGCAAATATTGATTTTATACACTTATGGTCGTGGGAGAATGTTTGTGACATAGTTACTATTAGTAAGTAGGAAGCTCCAAGTACCTTGGGTCAGAGATCAGTGTTGAAGGGAGGTACTAGACAGAATTTAGCAAATGCGAAGGCAGTATGGCTGAAGTGGAGGGAAGTTTCATGAGTAATATAATATGTCAGGCCGAGAGTTTCTTTATGAAGCTGCTGAGCAGTGAAAAGAAAGAGGAAGATTCAACGTGACGGAAGAGATGAGGATGCTGCGCTGGATTTTAATGTTCACGCTTAGAGATAGAGACAAGGAAAAAAAATTATGGTGAGATGTGCAGTTTGCAGATGTTAGAGGAATATCAGGAAGGCACGGTTTAGATAGTATGGGCATGTGATGAGTCATAAAATGATTAAGCAGCCCGGACTGTTATGAATATAGAGGCTGGCGGTAACACACAAAGAGGGAAAGGGGGGGGGGGTAGACTTAGGCAGAGGTGGAGATAGGGAATCTTGAGACCTGGTCCTAAAAGTGAGACTCCATGACAGTCTTGTATTAAAGCAAGTAATGGCAGTAGAAGAAAGAATGAGGTTGAGCAGCAACAGAACAACCAAAATATCTATGGGATACTTCAAAGATTTGCAAATGAACATATACCAATTGTATTGAAAAGCTACATCCTTCTCCACTCTGTACCCTTGTCTGCTTTTAATTATAATGGCTTACTTTTGGCAAGCTTGCTACAACAGCAACGCCTAGAAATCGAATCCTGGACAATAGTTAATTCGACAAGGCAAGATTTTTTTGCTGTTACCAACAAGCTCAAAATATCCGACGATTCTTCAAAAAATTGGTGCTGTAACCCCCCTCCCCCAACCCTCCTTCGGCATGCCCTTGCTTATCATAAAATAATGTTTTGTCAGAATGCAAAGCCTACTTCTCATTCTCATGTTTGTATTTTGATGATATTTTCCATATTGTTTGTACGTCTTATTTTGCAGGTACAATCTATGAAGGAACAAACAACATACAATTATCAACTATTGCGAAATATTTATAAGAAAAGCCCGAGTGATTTTTAGACTCTGTAAGCCAGGGGTGAGAGAACCCAGTCACAAAAATTTTTTCGTAACTTGTGTGAATAGGCGCCTTTGTTAAGCAAAGTTTCGCAGAATGTCTTCTCGTGCACTTTTTTTAACGTGTGAAAGAAGTAGGACTCTCATGTGAACAAAGTATGAACGAAGTAAAATTACCACAGTATTCTTAAATTCAATTAACAGATACAAAATTAGCTTAAGTCATCTGTCAATCAATAATTAGCCAATCAGCTAGCGTGTTTGCTGTACCACGCTCTCTGATTGGCCAATTGTTGATTGACAGATGATCGAAGTCACTTTCCAGGTAACTTAATTTCATTCGTTGACTTCTGGTGCAAACTTTGTACTTGATACCCATTTTCTCGAAGATATTTTCCTTTTTTAAAACACACCCTTTTCATCAACCCTGAACAGCAGGAAGCAGCCCCCCCCCTCCAAAGAAAAAATTCAGTGACATAATCTTTCGGCAAATCAAAAATATTTTCAATGTTCTAAGTTTTATTTCCCATTGCTCTAATGCTTGAAATTTTATAGATATATAAAAATCGATGAATAAATTCACTCATATTACGTCACCGTTTCCACCCAAAAATTGTTTGTGTGCTCTAAATTGGCTCACAAGTGTTTTTATTTTACTTGTATCCACGTTATATTATTGCCAATAGTCAAACCTGAAAAACGCCATTTTCTTTGGTAAATCCGGGGACTGGCACCCCTGATCCCGAATATTTCTCTTTAGCTCCGCCCTTGATAGTGAGAAAAAACATATGAATGCAAAAGAAAGGAATGACAGAATGAAAAGTTCCATATAGAAGATGACAAAATATAAAGAAGGAAAGGAACAAATTCTGTTAAAGTAGTAGAATACAGACAAATAATCCCGTGTAACCCATCAAAATAATTTGGGCTTGAGAGGTCATATCCGAGAAAACGGAAAGAACTTACAATGCTTGATCCTGGATTTATGTCGATTGGTATCTAGGACTGAATACCTGCCCCTCCCCTCTTCCCCTCAAATATAGCTCCCTTGCAAATTTTGCAGCGTTGCTGAAAAGCGTCCATAAATAGCCCAACATTCATCTCCCTGCCATCATCCATTCAGGGGTATAGTACTAGGAGGCGCAGGGAGCTGAGCCCCTTTGTTATTTTGATAGCACTACACCCCTGTATCCATTGATCGAGGAAGGGGCAATTAATTGCAAAATATCAACACTGTCTGCCCTTGATTGTAGTTTGCAATTTCTTTAGGTGAAACATCAATAACATTTTCATATTTCTATTCAAATCCTACAGTGTTTTAAGTTTGATGATTTTAAGGTGCATGGAAAAAGCTTTCGGTACCAAGTCAGAGCAATGATCAGTAGCATGAGATGCAATCCAAGGGACAGGACAAAAGGAAAAAAATTGAAGTCAATCTTTTGGTAGTACAAAACTTGAAAATGGCTTTGGAATCTATGTACATAAGCACGAAAAAACTGCTTTTGTGTAGAGACAAAAAAATTGTTCGTTTTCGCCTTCTCCAGGACTCCATTGGTAACATTCTCAATAGGCAAGCGGAACTGATTGGGCAACCTCAACAGTCATGTGCTCGCATTTCTATTTAGCCTATTTCGATCCACAACTTATTATTTATATTTCCTATCGTAGAGTTTTCGATCTATGTTCTGACGTTTTATACTCTGAAGACTGTCAGAACAAAGGCTTTAGGCAGCCTTTCCACTACCCCGGGTTAAAACAAAACCGGGTTAAAAGTTTTCCGTTTTTAAAGTGAGTCAATGGAAACGACATTTTTCTTCGACCCGTTTTTAATCCGCTTTTGCTCGTTCCTACTAAGCCGGGTTAAAATGTATTCAGAGTGAAATATTCGAAAACGTACGTAGAGTTGTAAGAGAAATCAGTATTTGCATCAATAATCCTTCAATTTCCATCGTTGTAGGCCAATAGAAGCAACATCGACATCGAGGATTTTGTTTTTTGATTTTTAGCGCCATCTCAATTCTTAAACGTTGCTGTTGTTGCAAGTGGGTCAAAAGTTATCCGGGTTTCGGCGCTTCCATTAACTCGCAGGTGGGTCAAAGAAACCCGGGTTAAAACTGACCCACTCTGAGACCCGTTTTCAAACTTATCCGTTTTTCAAGTGGGATAGTGGGGAACGCGACGCAGAAACGGATAACTTTTAACCCGCTTTTGTTTTAACCCGGGCTCGTGGAAAAGCTGCCTTAGTTTGCTCAAATGTTTGCTTTTTTCGAAGCCATTTTCAAGTTTTGTATCACTTCTTTAACTGAACAGTAAGGTGCCTTTGTAAATTTACCACGTTTCATCAGCGAACTGAAGTTGTCTTAATAGTGTTGTATTAAAACAAATTTGAATGTGTCTGTCTAAAATGTTTTTAAGTGGCGAGAAACTGTAAGACCCATTTCATGCATACTTGTATCTTATAAATATCATTTAGGCTTTAGAATTCCGAATCATATTCAACCATTATCTATTTATCAAAAAATATTGGAAATAAAATAGAAATATAAAGAGGAAATTTGTTTTACTACTTCCACTCATCACTTTGAAGTTAAAGTGATATTGTCTGGTCAGTGAAGAGGTGAGAGGGTGCGGTTCATATGTAAAATTTTATATGTTTTATAGACACGCATTACTTTACTCTCGTATGAAATTCTCAATTTGTCGAAGAAATTTCGGAAGTTTGCAACTTTGTCGGCATTTTTAGGAAAATATTGTCTTTAGCCCCCCTCCCCAACCCCCAAGAAATTCAATTCACACCGCTCTTTGTCAAGCCTCTATGAAATCTGTGTTTTTGCAGATTTGAAAAAGACCTATCTTTGTATACACCTTATAGCACCATATGTGGCAATTTTTTTCAACCAATTTCTCGCCCCAGTCTCTTTATGCAAGTCAAGCGCGCGGATATCGAAAAGGTGTAGGAGGATTTATGGGCGTTTTACTTATTACACGAAAGCATAACCTCAATTTCCAGCAGAGGTTATTATCGTGTATAGCTTAGGCCCAACTTCAATTTATTTGTGGCACTTGACCTTGACAGAATTCTGAGAACAGTTTATTTTCTGAGAAAAACGCACTGATATCTACAAAAAGAGTCAAAACACGCATCGCTGCATGATATCGGATTGGTTTCATGACAAAGAGTGCAGGGGTGGGCGACCTACGGCCCGCGGGCCAGAATCCGGTCCGGGAAGAGATAGAAAATCATCTTAAATTCTTTGTTGGCAAGGATGATTTTCTGAGCGGTCGCAATATTTAGTGAAACATATCGATTCAAAATTAGATTAACTGTGTCAAACCTGGGAATCATGGAAAGGTTTTTTCACTATTGGGCAAAAGTTAACAAAAGCAGCAAGAACAAATTTTGCTTGGCACATTGCATTGCAGTACAGCACCTGTTGTTTGCAAACACTAGTGATTACGTTTGTCCATTTTTTGTCATGTTTCACCTGATAGTTTGCTATGACCAATATTCGATTAGTTGGTGTTTTCGTTTATCAAAACGAATGGCCTGAGTAAAAAGCCGACTTGTTACCTGGCTCTGGCAGAATTCCGAGAACAGTTTATTTTCTAAGAAAACATCCTGATAATAAGCAAATACTCTTTTTTTATAAGAATATTGTTTATAAGAATATTCCGTCTCAGAATCATCCAATTTTCAAGAATATTGTAATTTATAAGAACATTGCCCTTTCTCAGTTCACACAATTCTTTCTCATTTTTCAGCAGTTGCCTGTGTTTCTATGTTCATCATAAGAAGTTCCATGACTGAATATTTTGTTTTTTATAGGAAAGCAAGGCTTCCATAATAGTGCGGTTATTTCCTTTGAAAACCTTCGAAATCGAAATAACTTCTAACTAAGTTCCCCTGAAACCATATCAGATTCTTAGAAATTTAAGAATATATTAAGGTTCATTACGAAAATTTCTTATCGAAACAGGACAAAATTTATTGCATTCTTTTGAAAAAAGAGTGTTATTGCAATCGATTGTCGTGAAAAGATTTTTGTTCTTTCGATGTATCATAAATTATTATATTCTAAAATCCTTTCTAAAGTTTCACAGCAGATTAATTTCTGCTAGAAGAGATTTCTTACTTAATATTCTATAGATTTATCGTAAAGTAGTTCTTATTCAGTGAACATTTGATATCAAGCAGATTGCATTGAATTTCCTAAATTCTAACACCCCAACACGCATGCTTATTCTAAACTCTTCCTTTGCAGGTGTTTTTGGGTTTCTTTGCCCAAGTATGTCGTTTTTTGTAGAATCTTTGTAGAATTCGGTTCTTGGTACGGATGACTCTTTTCAATTCGGTGGTAGGCAGAAGAGTACAAGAATTTCAAACGTTATTTGCCAACAACAGCTAATGCAAAGTTTACAAGCTTGCAATTAATAAATTATGCAAAAAAAGTTGCTGTGTGTGTCAAGTATTACAATCAGGGCCTCTTTTAACATTGCAACTAGTGGGGTTTCTGCCCCAGTAGGCCCTTCATCTGGCCCAGTAGTGAAGCAAAAAAATCTAATTTTGCCCCAGTAGTTAGGGGCCCCTTTTCACATTATGTACCATGATTTGTTTTGTTGTTTTCATTTCCATTGTTCTTTCAACTTTGTGCAAGGGTCTGCGACTGGGACAAGTTTCTCCCGTCTCTTCTCTCGAAGCTTTGACTGCCCTAAAGAGCCTCAGTTTCGCCATTTTGATCTCGATTACCAGGAATTGGTCAATTCAATTCAATCTGCGAGCCTGGTACACATGCCACTCAAGCACGTGCTTTTAATATTTTTATTTTCGATCTACCTATCTCAAATGACCTATATCTAATCTCGTAATTTCAAAATGAAGAAAAAAGAGAAGAGTGGACACCAAAAGCGACTCGAAAGCAAGAAAAGAGCTTTGAAGGAATGTGCCTCAGCTGTGGGTCAGAAGTCGATTTTCTCAATGTTTGGAAAGAAGGATAGCGACACTGTTGAGGTTGAAAATACAGCAGAAGTACTAGAGGAAGGCCTACTACATGATGAATCCTCGCCACCCCCCAGCAAAGTGGCAAAGAGTGACACTACAAATGTTACAACTGAAAATGCAAAACAACAAGATGAATTTGGAACTCACTGGTACAAAGGAAAGAAATTAGACTTAAACTGGCTTATTATGTCTGAGAGCTGTCTTGAAGCTAGATATGAAAGAAAAGACAAAAGGCAAAGGCCTATCATGAAATGCCTTGTTTGTAACCAGCTTGAAATGCATGTTAAAAGGTTCACCGTCAATGGTTGAATACCTGTGGCTCAAGGAATTCGTGTTGATGGTAAGGACAGGCTTCGTTTGATAGTTGACCATTTATGTTCTGCTGCCCATGAAGAGGCATTACGACTCAAAAAGCTTGATGATGCTTGGAAGGATATGTCAGATGCCCATCCCTGGGTACGAATAGTGAAGAAATGTAAAGCTGAGACCTTACAATTGCTTCTAAAACTTGCAGTTGATGTATACAATGACTGCAGAGTAGAAACTGTCAGTGCATGGAGCTGGGCATCAAGATCTTTGTCTGGTGATCATAGCAACAATTTGTTGCACATATTTAGAGATAATGGATGGGATGCTGATTTTGTTCCTTACAATCAACCAGGCTCTGCCTACCATTACAGAGACCCTATGACATATGCTGAAATGAGAAAAATTATCAGTGAACATGAAATGAAAAAAGTAGCAGATTTGTTAAAAGAAAGTGTCTGCTATTCAGTACAAATTGATGGCAGTTCAGACAAACAACAAGTGGATTCCAAATTCATCACTGCAAGATTTCTCCCACAAAATGAAGTTTCTGTGAAAACTGTATTTCTGGGTATTTCAAGTAGTGACCTTGGGGGTGCAGATGGTTTGCTTGATGCACTTACCACTTGTTTAAAGAGTGTGGGAGTTGATACAGAGAAACTTGTTGGAATAACTACAGACGGTGAAAATGCCAACACTGGTAAGAATGGTGGACTCTGGAAACTTCTAAAGGATTACACTGGAAAAGAATTGCTCACTGCATGGTGCATATGCCATCGCTCTGATTTGGCTTTGGAGTCTGTACAGTCTGAAGTTCCTGAATTGTCATTGTGGATGACCAATGTACTTGCTGTTTCCAAATTTTTCAGACAATCACCTCGCAGAGTAAAGTACCTTCATAAAGAAGATCCCAAATGTCTGACATTTCCTAAGCACTTTGAAGTGCGATTTGCTGAGCACACTTTGAATGTGCTGAAGGCAGTGCTAAATAATCTTGAAGCAGCAAAGCAAGTGTGGACAAAGATGTGTTCTGGTGAAATTCACGCTGAAAAAATTGAAAAAAGAATGGCTCAAGGCTTTTTAGATAAATGGAAACATGATGGTCAACAGTTTTGGTTAACAACTTTGATGTTTGATTTGTGCAAAATATTTAAGAATCTCCAGAAAATTTTTCAAAAGTCACACCTAATTTTGTTGGATATTATAACTGCAAGAGATGCTGCAGTTGAGAATCTCAAAGTAATGAATGAAATACCAATACCAGGTGGGAGAGAGGAGAAATGTCGTGGAAACTTTGAAGAAGTTTCTTCTCCAACTAATTCAAGACAGAAAAGAAACATAATGAACAAATATGTGACAACAACACACAGGAATGACATGGCAGTGAGAACAGAGATTGTCCAATCAGCAATAAATTTTTTAGATGAGAGAATGAACCTTGAAAATGATGGAACTTTAAAAAATTTGATGAAAATTTTAGATGCCAAATCATCTACAGAGCTCATCACAGCAAGCAGAGATTTAGCCAGTCAACTATTTGGCCCAGAAAAGATTGAAGATTTTGTCTCTGACACATGTATGTCATGGAGGAAGATAGTTGCCATTGAAGATCCTGCTATTGAAGACAATGGCACATTTTACGCATTGAAATTAAGAAAAATGGTGCAAGCAAGCTGTG